GTTTTTTAACCAGCTTTAATAGCAAAAGACATTCCTACGCTTTTCTAGATTTGTTTCTAATACTGTTTTAACACCAAAACTAAATAGTTATTAAAATCAATACATTTTCCATTTGCCAGTTATATTTTTGGAGAAAGTGTAAAAATTGAAACTAAAAATAAACCCGAGGCAAATATACTTAGTGTAGGCAGGCAACTACTAAAAAAATTCAATTTAAAACCTTTGGTTTATTTTACTTATATATGTACTTGAGTGAAAATATTTTTCAATTGTTGATTCATTTTAACTTTTAACCTCTCCCCCTCCCTATATGACAATTAAATAATTGTTTAAAATTCTTGGAAAAAGAACAACAAAATCTTGCTTACATTTATTTTTCGTTTGTTTCTCTTACAACTTGGGTTATTTTGTTGAGCAAAAAACAAAGTAGCAACCTCATGGGACAACCTTATAAATAAACAAAGGAAACAGAGCTAACAAAAGCAACATGTTTCTGGAATATTGATAATAATATTTATTTCTTAGAAAGGTTATAAAAAAATACGTAAGTAAGTATGTAAGCAACCATCCAAACAAACACTTTTTTTAATTCAAGGGGCGTAGTCATTGAAAAATGTTAGGAACAAAGAACAAAAATAAACACATACATATAACAAAACCTCATTGATTGTACTAAAATATTAATAACCATTGTTGGTTTTATATATATATAATTTTTCCTATTTTTTTCTTTATTTCATAAATTGTTAAAATAATGAAGAAATACATACTACAACCCATTTGGTGTCCAATGTGTCGTTTATAAAATAGAAATGAAATTCTGTCAAAATTTAAGTGTAACTAGTAAAAAAGTATGGTCGGTTATGCTTGACCCTATGATAATATACACAAATGACTTTGAAAGGTCTTAGTTTGGGTGCTAGTTCCTATAAAAGGTTGAAACAATTTGAATTTGTGGGAATCCTGTAATATAAACAAATAACTCTTTTGTTTCTAATTCGATTGTTGAAGAACACTAATCAATAAACCTGTCGATCCACTTGACAATAGACTAGTTCAAAGCTTAGTTCAAAGACGTATACAAATTGGTCTGTAGGCAGTACAATACACAATTCCGCAGACTAGCCTATAGACTAATCGGTAGACAAATCTAATTCTAATACAAAGACTAATCATTAGACGAGTTCATAAACTAGTCAATAGAAAAGTTCATAGACCAGTCCATATAACTGTCAATAGATAAGTCCATAAACTAGCGCTCAAATTGGCACATATTATAATCAGTAGATTAGTTCAAAGAATAGTACATAGACCAATCAATAGATTAGTCTATCTACAAGACAGTAAACTGGACCATAGTTAACTAATCTAAGTACCAATGAAATAGCCCGTAGACTAGTTAGAAGTCTAGTACATAAACTAATCAACAGAGCAATATATAAAACCTTTCAATACACAACTTCATAGGATAAAAATTCCAATTTTTCCCTGCTTAATGTAGGGTATAAAAAATGTACAGAGAAATATGTAAGTCAAATAATCAACAAGCAGAAAAGGTATTTTTTCATTTTACTCATACATTTTTATGCATAAAGTAGGTTTATTTGTGAAGCCTAAAATGCCACTACATTGAATTGAGCAAAAGAAAAAGAAGAAAAAAGCTAAAAAAACAACACAACAAGCCGATCTCTTGTAATACTTATACGTACTGTTGTACCGTAATAAGTAGTACGTAATATTTAGTAGTAGAATATATAGTACCATACACATGTTTAGTATTACGATACTTTTAACATTTTTACACACATAAATATGTAAATAAAACCTACATACTAACACACAAACATTCCTATGAGTATTTTGCACATACATACTTCCATATGTATGTATGCATATAGTTATAGAAGTAATAAAAAATATGCATTAAAACATTATAGGTACAGAAAATAAGAAAAAGAAAAAAAAATACTGAAATAGATGACAAAGACGACACAACAAAGTGTGCCCACTAAAAACCTGGTGATGTTGTTGGTTTGTTGTGCAAACATTTGCTCTTACAAACACATTTTGTGGTACAGTAAATAAACGTTTACAACTGAATACCAAAATATGACTTTATACTACCACATAGTCGTACTTATTTGTAGCAGCAATATTACGTACTAAGGTACATACATACATACGTACGTACAGATATTAGCAAGAATTTATTAATTTGTTAAGATACGTACATATATTTGAGACGTAAGAGACATACATATTTAGATTCTTACTAATAAAAAATAACTCTGTGTAGTTAGAACGATGTCATTTTATTAGTTATTCATGCTTAAGGTATTAGGATATTCTTAAAGTAACATATATTTAGTTTTTTCTTACATTAAATATTTTTGATCCTTAAAATAATTTCGAATTTATGTTTCAAATGATAAATACTATTTATGTATATCAAAGAAAAGGTCTTTGAAATACCTTACCAGCCGCTTTTGCCGATTTTTAAACTTCCTGAAAGCATATTTCATAGAATGATCCAATATTTGCTAAATTGAACTTGATCTCAACAAACATATGGATAAATTGCAACTAAAAGGACTTTAAGAATATACTATTAATTTCAATGACAAACTCATACATGTATACATACATATGTATATACATTAGAGTGTCCCGAGGAACAGAATCTCATTTAAGGTTTCTAAAATAGTTTGGCATTTGATTTAGGTATAGTGCTTGGGGACATAATTTGGAAATATCCTAAATCAACATGGTTGCTATACATTAACAAAATTCTGATAGTGATGGGATCTTATATACATAATTGTAAAAGTATAATTTTGGTTTTTTGATTAGTATGTGGCCTTTGAAAGGTTTTTTAAGGGAGTCGATTTAATATGCATACTTACTAGATGTATACATATATATAGTAAATATATTATTACATACACTTATTTATTTATAATTTTTCCTATGAAATAGAAACCATAGAAGTTTTAAAGTTATGACATGCGATAATGTAATATACATATCAAATACTAAAAGATTTCTTTAATTTTTGCTTAATTTCAACAAAAACCATAAATTTATTTCGGAAATAATTAGGAAAAAGAAATAATTCTTTTTAGTTGCTAGAATTTAGCAGAAATTTTCATGTGTGGTTGTTTGATTGTTGCTGCTTCTGTTTTTTGTTGATATATTTTTGTTTTCATTTTTGCTGCTATTGTTGTAGTCGTGTTAAAACATATGTTGTTGAAACATGGATGGATATTTTACTAAGTACTCGTACTACACTATGTGAACTCATATGAATATACACGTAATAACAACAACAAAATTTGTACACAAACGCTGTATGTTTATAGAAATATTAGACGGGTAAGAAAAAAAGATTCATACCAATTTTCAAATATTGATATAAATTTTAAATAATGGATTTATAAAACGATGTATTATAAGCTGTTTTCAGGCAATAATGATCAAATTCTTTTTTAAAGACTCCGATTACAAGACGAACATGTCCTCATAGACCCAGAAAAGTACTCCAAACCGATTACTATAAAGTTTGTATGCTTTAAACATCTGCTCAAACTAATATTCTTCCTTGTTATACATATTGTGAGTGTAACAAATTTTAAAAGTGTTAAAGCAATAACAAACGTGTAAGAAATCTTTTATACAATAAATATTGATAAATTATATACATATGTACATACATACATATATTCAATTTTATATTAAGATTCATATACATATGTATATAAAAACTAGACTCCTCAAATAGAAATATTTAGGACGAAAATAGCCAATAGTGGATGTGACACCTCACATACAAAGTATTTCTGAAAACATAGATTCCAATAATACTAATGATAATTTACTTTACCACTAGGTATATGTATATTTGACAAAATGTTTTGAATAAATTTGACAAAGTGGTTTGGTGGTGTCACGCCTACCACTTTGTAGAATTTTTGAATCTGAAAATCTACAACTGGTTAGCAAAGCAAGCTGGATACAGTTAGTAATTTATAACTGATATTACCAAGATTTTTATGGAGACCATATTAATAAATACTCTTTACATAGTTATAGTCGCTGAATGTTGTATGTATACACGAGTAAATTTTTCTTTCAGTGGAATATCAGCAATAGAAACATGCTGTTTATATATTTTAAAATTTAATACTATACACATATAGGAAAATATCCATACGTACATATCATATGTATATACATACATATGTTTGAATTAAATATGTACATATATTTTGTTTTTGGTTTGGGAAAAATAACAAACGCATAAAAGTAGTAAAAAGTTAAAAATACTTATGAGTTACAAGTCACAAGGTGATGATGGCGATGTTACTTTTAGAAATTTCTATATAGTAAAGTTAACTTATAGTACATGATGACACTGAACACCTAATACCGTTATGAATACATACATACGTACAAACGCATATAAGTTTATAAGTACGTGTTAGATGTGTGTATATGTGTGTTTATTTGCAACTGCATTCATATGCTTGCATTTGTGTTTATATACACACGAACCTACATACAAGTAGTTTATATATGTATAAATAAGTTTTAGTTACACCATGGAATGGTTTGCTTTTGTTGTTGTTGTTTTCCTAAGAGTATGTGTTAGAACATGTGTGTAAATAAGTCCATCATTCATACCTACATACATATCCACACATATAAATATGTATGTGTTTTTACTATTTTTCAAGGTTTTACACAGTATTTCTTGAATTTCTTTCTTTATTTTCCATTTTATTATTTATTTGCTTCACTTAAACATTTTCTTTTCTTTTTTACAATACATTCCTTTAAAACAAAAAAGCCAAACAAATTAAGAAAAACACCTTAAAGTATGCTGTGATTTATTTTGTTTTATATTTTTTTTATTCACTACATTTTGTCAAAGAAAATTTTCTTTTAATTTTCATCATCTCAACTTTCTTTTTCTTTATCTTAATTTATATACTAATACGCACTTTTCTCGATATTATTTTTTTTTTTGTTATAGATTTAACTGTTTCTTTTGACCACCATGTGTACACCGATTCGTCGTTAATTCAATGTTAAATGATGCTCATTCTCGTTTCCCGCAATTTACAACATGTCTACTACCACTTTTTTGTTGTTCTTGTACAAAGTATAACAAAAAAACATTTTAAACAAAAATAAATCTGCTGTAAATATAGCGGAGTGAAGCTGCGAATACGTTTGTCTAAGGCATATGTCTGGAGCTAAACTGTTGGCAAGTTTTCGTTGTTTGGTCTTGACAAGGTAAGAGATTTTATTTTTTTAGTATATATAGTGGTCTGTAAGTTATTTTCAACAAACCAAGTACTCAATTTTATTGTTAAGAGAATATTTTGAATCGGACAGGCGCATAAATAATTCCGGGAGATTAACCTTTGGGGTAACAATTTGAAAAAGTTTTGTATTTTTCCATGTTTTTATTTAATTTGTTAGATGAATACAGCTTTTATTACTCTGGTAGTTTAAACAAAACCCTGGCATTTCGTTGACGTGTGCGTTTCGTATTGTTTATTTCGTGAGTTTATTTCAAAAGTGTCATAACTCAAAATTCGAGTTTTGAACTAAGTACCAAAAAAAAAAAAAAAAATATCTCGTGCTAAAGTCTTTTATATGTGTTCACAGTTTTATCTACATATTTTCAAAAATTTCTATTATTTTGAGGATGAAAGTGATTTTTGTTGTAAAAGGCAAACGATTTCTTATATATAATTAGCAAAAATATAGTTAAATCTCTTATAAGGATTTATTTTAAAAATAATATTTATAAAGATAATAAATTATTGTTGTCAAAAGTAATTTTTGGAGGTAAAAATAATTTAAATTCGTTTTTTACGAAATTATGTTTTTTGTTTATGACAGTCTTCAAATAAATCAGCTATTTGAATTTCTCTATAATCGATCAACAATCTGGCCACATTGTTAAGCATATGTTTTTGTTATTTGTGTATTGACATTCTAATGTTTTTATTCTTGGATTTTGTACAAATTACACCGGAATATTGCAGCATTGCATCAAAGAAAAAAAAGCATAAAAATAATTGTGCTGCGTTTAACGGGCACTGCAAAGGAGAGCTAATTTTCTAAAATCCTTTGCCCGTTCTTTTCTCTGTGAGTGTTGAAAGTGAGGAAGTGAATTTTCAAAGAAAAAGTTGAATAATGACCTTGGCACTTCGTTTGACACGCTTGCCGGTTATCGTCTACCAAGAGACAGTGTTCCAACACAGCTGTTTAGGTAACCCACTAAGAAGGCAATACGTAACTTCAAGGTAAGTACAAATAATTTATAGGTTCATAAACTTTTAATTTGTTCCATTGATCTTACAACAAAAATATCGGAAGGAACATTATAATACATCTACCAGATAGGAAAATTTATTTTATACCACCAAAACTACAAAATTATGTTTGTGTACATAATATTAGGTGAATCACTTGGTTTATAATTTGCGATTTAAAAGTTTACATTAAGTATCAAAAATTTTAAACGTAGTTTTTTAATTCCATTGCCATTGTAAAACTAATATTCAATTCCAGTGATCACACTTCAAAAAAACCAACAGCTCCCTCAACATCTCCCATACCGCCCAAAAGTGCAGATTTTACACCACCGCCGACAGAAACTGCAGATAAACAAAAACCAACTGTAAGTTCGAAAAGAAGTGAAATAGCTACAAAAACATTGTCGGAAAGTGTCACGAAATTGCAACAATTGGCAGAGAAAAAACAGGAAGCTGTCTCGAAAGTCAAACTATCGACACAACAAGTACGCAAAAATGTCCGTGGCTATATGTTTACACGATTCTTTGACTATGTTAAAAATTACGATACAGTTTTGGAGAAAAATTTCCCTTCGGCCGTAAAAGTGTATCGGGTATTTTTTGATGGCGTCAAAGATTTCTTTTCGGATATGAAAAGATTTTTGAAAGTTGCTCGCATTGTTAACTCCTCGTCCAAAGGTCTTAAGTCATTAAATAGACAGGAATTGGAATTATATATGCAAATGCCTAAAGATATGGTAAAGGTAGCTCCAGCTTTGATTTTCTCTTCACTGCCTATGGTGGGTTATGCCATATTTCCTTTGGTGTAAGTTTATCTTGTATTTTTATATTTATTTTCAACAAATTTTATTACTTTTTTCTTTTAGTTTCATGTATCCTCGTTCATTTTTAACATCACATTTCTGGACGCCACAACAGAAAGATGAATTTAAACAATTCTATTTTCATGAACGTTTAACCTACAACAAACCAGTTTTTCGTTGTTTACAAGCCAAACTGAAGTCAACAAAGAAACATCCTAAACATGAGGAATTTCGTAATGTTTTAGGTCAGTTAGGAAGTGGTACTCATCCCAGTGTAGAGCAAATTTTAGATATTAAGGATATTTTTTCAGAAGCACCATATAGTTTAATTTCTTTACCCAGCAAACATATCGTAAGTATTTATTTTTCTATCCACTAAAAGCTATAAAAATTTGAAACTCCTTCTCTATTTATATTTTAGAAATTGCTTACTAAACTACATGGTTTACCTAGAGGTTGGTTTAAACGTCACAGCCTCTATGAACAGGCTTTTCTAGTCCACTACATGGATTTGGCAATTGGTCGTGAGGGTGGTGTTCACAACATGCCATTGGAGTCATTACGCAATGCTTGCTATATACGTGGTTTAAATCCGGTCGATTTAAGTCCCGAAGAAATGATTGAATGGTTACGTGGTTGGATTAAAGTTTCCAATTCAATTAAAGCCGAGCATATTACATTGTTTTTGCATTTGCCTTTGTTTTTGGGCTACAATCACCCTAACAACTGGAAATTACTTTATGGCAAAGACAAGAAAGAACAGCAGCAAACAACTACGGCCGAATAAGTTGGACGGATTATGGAAGGGCAAATAAGGTTTTTTTTTCTCAAATGACAAATGTATTTGCATTAAAGGTTATTACTGTTAAATATGCTGGGCAATTTATTATGGAAAATATGCAGATACAGACAGAGCTGTTATATTCGATTTATAATTGAAACATTTTTTTGTTATGTTTAGTTCCTTTTTTAAAAAAATGTCTTTTACGCAAGTCCTAAAGAAATAAATTGAATTTTTTGAAATAATTACGTATCAATTTTTTTAGGTATTTTTAGATAGTGTGGTCATTAGTACGTATTCATACTGTTGGTTATATACAACACAACTATGTATTTAAGGTTTTGCATTGACATACCTTATTCAATTTTTGCGACATCTTTTATTCGGAATATTTTTGGTTTAATATAGAAATCAAGAATTGGCTTTTTGAACCATCTTGGTTTGTTCATATAATTAATATATTTTTGAAAATAATTTTAAAACAATTGTGTTAATTAATATACCATTTTATCAACAATTATTTGAATATTTAAAAATTATAAAATGGACAGTTTGGTAAATATTTTTTTAGAATATATCGGATAACTTAATTATTTAACATACAAATTTTGGGAGATATTTTATTACAAAAATCTTAATTAATATTTATTGCTATTTTTTCGCAAATACAGGTTTGTTCTGAGAATTAAATAAAATCATTCTTTAGTTCGATTTTTTTAAACATAAGCTTTTCCTTTCCTTTATTGATATATCAAAGGTCACCATAAATACTGAGTGCGCTAATCGAGATATTGGATGTGGATTGTGACCACCAGTTTTATTCAAATTGTATTGTATTTAAAATTATGGATAGACATACATCGCACTATGGGTAGAGTAGAGTGATTCTTAGATAAAACCTATAACAATGTTATATGTATATTAACTTGTATATATGTATGTGTATTAACATAATAATGACAATCCTTCTGTTAAGATTTGAAAATATCAGTGCAATAGAAAAATATCTAACTATAGCTCGAAAACAACAAATGTGCTTCAATTGTCTACAGAAGTGTAATAGCATCTTAAGTCGTAGGAATTACAATAAACTAGATGTTTGTAAAAAACTAATATTTGTAACCTTTGACCTCCAATAACTTGCTTAGCGTACATGAGGTTAATGGTGACTTTTAGCCACTTAATTAAAACCCCAAGACGAAGCCCTGTGTCAAATTATTTAGCTATCTAAAATTCCCCAGTTTTTTGATGTTTCATAAAAAAGATCATGGAAAGTTTAAAATTATTTTCGAAATGATTGTATGAGAAATAATTACACTTTCGATCAGAATGGAATTCTGTGACGAAGGAGTAAAGTTGTCAAAGAACGAATAATAGTTGGAATTATTATTTAAGAATCTTAATAGCAAACTAATAGCATCTTAAATAGGAGGTTTGAGGGATTTTTTTTTTTTTTTTTTTTTAAATGAATGCTCTAAGAAAACTTTTTCTTACAAAAATACGCTCAAAGCTGTACTAATAAGATTAATTTCTGAGTATTTGGGAAAAAAGCGTTATTTGATCTCAAAAATTTGTTCTTCCCTATTTAGTAAAACTCTTCATTTATGGTGGGATTTATTTTAAGAGCTCTGAATTATTCACCCCAATTCTGCATTTCGATTACATTTTCGCATTCAATTACGCTACGATCGAAAATTGGTATTCCAACAAAAAACAGAATCGTAAGAAAATGAAGAAGCAATTCCATATTAGTATTAAATTTTATAAACAAAAAATTACACACCAATTATGAAGCCTTAAATAACGCTCCAATTGAGAAAACAGCGAAAATCTGTGATTAGTTTAATTTTTCATAAAAAAATTTAAAGTCCGCTGTGAATCGATTCGGTTAAAATTTTAGGTTGAAATCAGCTTGTATATTTCTCTCTCCATTTTGCTTTTGTTGTTTTCAGCTATTTTTAGTGTTTTGTTTCTCTATCGTTGGATCTTTACATTCTACGAAGGAAGACCTTATGGTCTTCGAGAGGAGTTGCACCTCTTTATGGTACATAACCTAAAGTCTATAAATACAACTGGAATTGAAAAATACCGAAGAGGGGGATTATTGACAATTTACCACCAAAAGTCGATTTCTATATGACCATGAGTATATAATATGTATATGATTATTTGTTATCAAAAACAATTTTTATATTAGAACCCAAAAATCGGTCAATACTCTGCATGACAATAAACAAAATACGTGAGAAAACAATAACATTAAAAATTTTTTTTCAATCGGAACTTTATTAAGCAATACGAACTACACAGAAAATTTCAAACATCACTTCCAAAAACTCCTCAAGCTAGTCCGAAAAATATCAATATTGAGAAAGTTTTGGAAGGAAACTAATCTAAACCATCACTCCTCCAACACTGGTTTAATAAAACACATTCCATCTTTGTTGTCTTATAAAATAGTTATTTCTTGTTTTTAGATTTTGTTTATTTTATTATTTCCATTTTAAAAGAAACACTAGTCAACTATTTAGATTTTAAGTAAATTTGTAAAATTTACTTCTTGGCAGCGCCCTTCTTGATGCCTTGAGCTTTCAATTCACGAATGCGCTCGCGTTTGTCCTTCTTGATTTTACGGACGGTACCATCTTCCTTGGTGCGCTTCTTCAAAGCGTTGAAGGCAACGGTGAGCAACTTGTTGCGTTGACGCTTGGCATAACGCAATTTGAAACGATCGAAATCATTCAAACGGCAACGCTAAAAATAAAACAGAAAATGTTTACATTAAATTAAGTAAAACAATATGCTAAGAAGTATTAAAATACTGGAATTTGTTTAAAGTCTCTTCAGTCTAAGAAATAATTAGCTTCATGTATGTATCAGCCGGCAATTCCTATCAAGAACTTTCATTATCATCATGTTGACTTTTCGTTATTGTAGAAAAACTTTAAAGTTGTAATACCAGTAGTTTGATAATGCTTACCTTGCTAATGTTTTGTGACCTAGCGGACCAGGGAGAGACCTTCCATTGGGCCTTCATGTCACTGTCTTGCCATGCCTTGCGCACAATGCGAGTGGGGGCAGTGAAGGGGAACTTGATGCGGTACTTGGTCAAGTGGAGATTGTTCAATCTGTATTCTTGACGGGGGACACCAGTCAAAGGACCATCAACAAGAACCTACAAAAAAAAAAAAAACAAAGTATTGATTAGTTTTGAAATCAAATAAAATAAAAACGTCTATTATAAAGTTCACATTTAGGATGATATCTGTTTAGATTCTCAGTGAGTAGTTAGATAGCTTCATGTATGTATCAGTTGGCACTTCCTATCAAGAAGCCATAATCATCATGATCAATAAACAAACATCATCACTTAAACATTGGTCAACGTGACCATGAGAACTTTTATTTTATATTCCATTTTGAAAACTTACTCTGTTTTGGTCAATCACGTCGACAATAGCGACGAGACGTCCCTTCAAGGGACCAGCCGAGCATTTCGCAATGCGACCAGTTTGGACAAATCTTTGGAAAGGCTAGTAGAAAAAGATGAACAATAGAAAAAACTATTAAATATTTATTATTTTTAATTTTAGATTAATAATAAGCAATAATTGAACAATTAAAACGGGGAAAATTTAATTTCAAGTCTAATTTTATTACAATTTAATACAAAATAACTCAGCATTTCATTAAACACGTTGTGCATTTTGACATTTACCCGAATGAGTTGTGAGATTGTCAAAATGCCCAAACATCATTTTCCACGCTGAAGACGATTTACATTTTTAAAACACTTTTTTGTGACCAATTTAAGGACTTTTCAAGGCAAATTTTCACACGAATGTTTTAATCATGGTAAATATTTAATTAAATCTTACTTTTATTCACGACTTGAAACATTTTCCCAGACATTTTAACTAAATTCGGACGAAGAAAAATTGAAAACATTTCTTACCATGACTGCTAACCGGAAAGAAAGAAATGTAAAAGAGCGATAATAGTAGTTGAAATTTCAACATGGCGTCACTGCTAGAAAAACTGCTGAACTTTTGACAGTTGACATTTTGGGATAGAAACCCAAGCGATGTCGTTGTGTAAATGGTATAGATTTTTGGAATAGAAAAATATAAATGTAAATTTAAAGAAAATATGCAAAAGTTAAATATTAACTTGTTGAGAAAAGCCATTTTAAAATCATTTGAGTAGTATTGAAAATAGAAAACAGCATAACTTTTTCAAAACCAATTTTATTATGAATTAAGTTGAATTTTATTGTAATTACGACATATTTTATTAAATTTATTAATGAAGAACTGAAATTTCTGAAAGTCAATTTATATGGAGGCTAGATTTAAATATGAGCCGATTCTCTTAAAATTATAAGGAGGGATTTACTTCTATATTAATGTAATTTATGTTTAATTCCATAGTAATATTAATTTTTATTAGTTTAAATTAATTTGAATTGTGTTTTGCTGATATACGACAGCATTTAACTTAAATATGAACTCAAAAATTCTTATTCGGTGGGTACGGTTGTATAATGAACCGATTTGAACCATTTTCAATAGACTTCAACATTGGATCCAAGAAATGGATCCTTAATTTATTTTGGAAATTGCGACCATCAGTTTACAAGGTTTACAATGACGGACAGACGGGCGTCACTAAATCGAATAGTTTTGTAAAAGAAAAACTGCTAAATATTTAATAGATATTTAGATATTTATTAAAATTATTAAACATTTACTTTTGTTTACAAACATTTATGTTAAAAAAATACATCTCATACAAACAAATCATATTAATCGTAATAGATCAACCAAAATCTACTACATTTTTAAATAAAATACAACTCTGAACGTATGTTGACATTTTTTATTTTACAACAACAATACAAGACAAAAAGACATTTGCACGTGTAGTGTTTGGTAAAATTGAAAAGAATTTGTGAAAAGTGGGAAAATTTGTGAAATATTTTACAATAATTAAATATAACAATGCCTGAAGATGAAGGTATTGATAAAAAGAAATCCCATCGCGCTCGACAATCTGGCGTTAAGGCGGAGAAAAAGAAATTAAAAGCTAAAAAAGAGTCAAACCAAAAAGAACCCAACTTAACGGCACGCCAACGGAATCCCAAAGCATTTGCCATTAATTCAGCTCAAAGAGCTGAAAGAAACTTTCGGCGCAAAGAGGATATAACAGCAAAGAAGCAGCACATACCGGTTGTAGATCAAACTCCAGATGAGCCACCACCAGTATTGATAGCTGTTGTTGGTCCACCAAAGGTGGGCAAAACCACTTTAATTAACAATTTAATCAAAACATTTACAAAAACTAATGTGAATGATATTAAAGGTCCTATAACCATTGTTACTTCCAAGAAGAGACGCATTACCCTCTTAGAATGCAACAATGATATCAATTCCATGATTGATGTGGCCAAGTGTGCCGACTTGGTGTTGCTAATGTGTGACGCCAGTTACGGTTTTGAAATGGAAATTTTTGAATTCCTCAACATTTGCCAAGTTCATGGCATGCCCAAGATAATGGGAGTTCTTACTCATTTGGATATGATTAAAAATCCTAAAGCGTTAAGAAAACGCAAGAAGGAACTTAAACATCGTTTTTGGACAGAAGTTTATGATGGCGCCAAATTGTTCTATTTATCTGGTTTGCTTCATGGTGAATACTTAAGGAATGAAATTAAGAATTTGGGACGTTTTATATCGGTGATGAAGTTTAGACCCTTACAGTGGCGTGGAGCGCACAGCTATGTGATAGTAGATCGTGTGGAAGATATAACAAATACCGATACCATACGACGTAATCCGAAATGTGATCGAGATGTGGTATTGTATGGTTATGTTCGCGGTGTACCTTTAAAACAGGAACATATGGTTCATATAGCTGGTTTGGGCGATGTCCGCATTAATGAATTAAATGTTATACCAGATCCTTGTCCTTTGCCGGGCACTGAGAAGAAACGTACTTTGCTGGAAAAGGAACGTTTACTCTATGCTCCCATGTCTGGTGTGGGTGGTATTGTTTATGACAAGGATGCTGTGTATATAGAATTGCAAGGATCTCATAGCCATAAAGAGAAGACTGCAGATGCCACTGAACAGGAGGAATTGGTGGGAAAACTTATAGAAAAGAAACAGACGGTAGATGAACAAATTGATGAGCAAGAATTCCGATTGTTTTCTGATGGTCAAGCAATTAAATCAAAAGATTATGTGGATGAAGATGCTGAGAATAGTGAAGAGGAAGTTGAAGAGGTAAGTCTACACTATTTTTAACATGCAAAACATATTTATTAAAAATATGTAAATTCTAGGATGATTCTGGTGTTGATGATGACGAAGATTCAGATAGCAATGAAAAGGGAAATGAATTTGAGGCAGATGACTGGCGCAATGAAGATTCCGAAGAGGAAACTAAAGATGATGATAGCAACTCCGAACAGGATTCATCAGATGACGATGACTATCAAGATTTAGAAAAGATTACAAAAACTAAAAAAACGAAATTCAATGCTGACAGTGATGCTAGCGAAGACGAAAATGACATTGAAGATGATGAAGATGAAGGTAGCGATGATGATGCTGATCAGGAAGCTATTTTAGCAAACAGCATGAGTTGGAAAGAAAATTTAGCTGAAAAAGCTAGAGATGCATTTCTACAACGTCATTCAGAATCAAAGAACTTAATGCGTCTGGTCTATGGATGTTATCTTCAAAGTGAGCGCAAAAAGGATGAAGAAAATATGGATCAACAAGAATCGGAAAATTCCGATGATGACGAAATTGGTGGTCTCTTCAAGGTGGCGGCTAAAAAGCAAACACAAATGCAGAAAGATAAAGACATTCGTGATAAAGAGGAGTCGTGCTTTTTCCAAGATAGTTTTGGTAAGAATTTAATAAATATTTAATTTGTTAACTCATATCATAAAATCAAACCATTTAATCGAGATCACTTTGCTACCATTTACGGTTAATTTTTTCAAATTTTATAAGTCTTCCTACAATAACTATGTTTACAACCCCTTTTAGAAACGACTAGAAATTGGCTGGAGGATAGTAATAAAGACTTGATAAAGAACTGTTTTGTTACGGGCAAGTGGAAAGCTTCTGAAGATGCAGAAAATCTTTTACGATTAGATGACATGAGTGATGCAGAAAGTGAAGTTTATGGTGATTTTGAAGATTTAGAAACGGGTGAAAAACAAAGTGGTAAACCTCAAGATTTAGAAGAGGATGCTACCAAGAATGAAACGGAAGAATCTTCTGAAAATAGAAAACGTAAAATGACTCGTGTGGAGGAAGAAAATCTTACAAAAGCTGAAATAATGGCGAAAAAATTAAAGCTTAAGGCTAAATTTGATGCTGAGTACGATAATAAGGGAGAAAAAGAAGACGATGGCCGTATCACGGGTGACCACGATTACTATGAAAGCCTTAAAGCAGAAGCTCAAAAACAATCACAACTGAATAAAAGTGAATTTGAAAATCTTGATAACGATTTGCGTATACAAATTGAAGGTTATCGGGCAGGTTTATACGTGCGTTTGGGTTTCAAAGATCTACCAGCTGAGTTTATAGAAAACTTCGATCCCACATATCCTGTGTTGATTGGCGGTCTTAATATGTCAGAAGAAAACATAGGTTATGTTAACTGCAAAGTTAAGAAACACAGATGGTACAAAAAGATTTTAAAATCTGGTGATCCTATTATAATATCTATGGGTTGGAGACGATTCCAGACGGTAGCAGTTTACGCTAAAGTGGAAGATAATTTCCGTCATCGCTTTTTGAAATATACTCCCGAACACGTTACTTGCAGCATGACCTTTTGGGGACCAATTACGCCCCAAAATACTGGTTTCTTGGCTTTGCAAACTGTGCGTCATGATCAGGAGGAATTAAAAAGAATCGGTTTTCGTGTTGCGGCAACTGGTTGTGTTACAGAACTCGATAAATCGTGCCAAATCATGAAGAAACTTAAACTTGTAGGTCATCCTTTCAAAATCTATAAAAAGTCAGCATTCATTAAGGGTATGTTCAATACCAGTTTAGAAGTCGCTAAATTCGAAGGTGCTAAAATTAAAACCGTGTCCGGTATCAGAGGTCAAATTAAAAAGTCCCATCACACACCCGAAGGATCATTCAGGGCAACATTTGAAGATAAGATTTTGTTGAGTGATATTGTATTTTGCAGAACATGGTTCCGTGTTGATGTGCACCGCTTCTATGCTCCTGTTACTACACTTTTACTGCCACCAGAGCAAAAACTTTACTGGCAGGGTATGAAGACTTTGGGACAATTAAAACGAGAGCGTGAAATTAAAAATGAAGCTCAACCCGATAGTTTGTATACTGAAATCAAACGCACACCTAAGGTGTTTAAACCTTTGGTTATACCAAAGGCTTTACAAAGAGCTTTACCCTATAAGGATAAACCTAAAGCTGGTCCTCTAAATCCTAAAGAGAAAGAAGAACGCGTAGCTGTCATACGATCACCTCACGAACAAAAGGTTGCTAAATTAATGAACATGATTGAAACAAATTATCAAGAAAAGCGCAACAAGGACAGACATGACACCAAAGTACGCGTGAAGAAATTCAAGTTACAGAAAAAGGCCGAAGAACTTTCAAAATTGAAGCGACAAAAAGAGTTGCGTAAAAAGGTTTCCAGAGCTTTAAGTAAAATGAAGGGTAAACAAAGACAATAATAAAGAATCCCTGCCAGTTAAGATTACACGTGTGTCTTGTATGTAAATTAAGTTTGAAATATTTTATGTATAAAATTAATTTGTTTTATATATTTTTTGTATAAGAAAATAGAGAATGAATATTAAACATTATTTTAATCCTGACTCTTATTATCATCAATAGCTTTAAGAGCTGCCAAAAGTTTATGTTTACGATTACTGGGCACATTGTGTTCCGTTGCAATGCTATTTCTCTTTTTAGGGGTTTCATCACGCAAAACTCCATTAGTCGCTTGACGACAGAATGTATCCAAAAATGCTTCTCTTTCCTTGTAATCGTCGGATATTTGTTTTCGTATACTAGATATTTCTTCCTTCATGTTGGGTTTTTTGCCAACAGTGGATAACTGTAAAAAAAGTTAATCATAATCATTTTCATTAAAATCATTATTGACATACTTCAATTTTTTGAGTTTCTTCATAATAATCATCATTGTCTGTCCCATCTATATTTGTAACAAAATCTCTATTGACTTCCTTGTCATCATAATGGTTATCCCCCAAAATATCTGCAGATTTTATTACTTCTTCATGCTCATCGTCTTCATTATCATCATCATTTTCATAATCATCATCGTCTTCATAATCTTGACTAGTAAGCTTTTCAGATTGATTTTGTGTCATGGATGACAAGTTCGAATGTTGTTTCTGCATTAGTGTTGAATTAAAAGTATTTGCAGGTTTATAAACATCTTGTAGAGTGGAAGCATCTCCATCACCTTGATCAATACGTCTTAAAACAGCAATTGACTTGTTGGGTGGTGTTTGTTGTTTTGAAATGTGCTGTATCACAGTAGTTGATGTGGAAGAGACTGTCAAATGATTTTTATTTGTTGTATTCTTAATTGATCGAGTGGTACGTTGAATCATATTATTGGTGCTGTGCGTTGATCTTTGACTGTTTGGTACTTCTATTTCATCGGTAATTTCTGCATCAGTGATATTCGCAAATGAATACTTGTCAATTTCTTTTTCATCTTTTGAGCTTTCATAATTGCCGCCTTTATTGCGTCTTAAGTTAAGATTGAATTTTTCTTGTAGCTATTTGAAATTTGATTTTTTAAATTTAAGACATTTATTAAAATGTAAGAAATTTAATATATTTACCTGTAATTCCTCCAGTTTGCGATAGCCAGACAACTCCAAACGTGCCTTTTCTAATTTCATTAAGATATCTTTATTTTTCTTTTGTTCCGTTTGTAACTGTTGTTTCGCTTGTTTGGCTTCCAACTGCATTTTACGAGCCATCATTTTCATATCGTTATCTTTCTCTTGTAAACGAGTTTCCAACATTTGTAATTTTTCACTTAAACGTTGACGGTCTTCCAAATTCCTGTAAAAGTACATTTAACAATTGTTAAGACTGTTAAATTTAGCACAATAATTTCATTACTTGTCCTTATTTAATTGTATATAGTATTTATTCTGATCACTTAGAGATAGTATAACAGCCTCCTTTTGTTTAAGCTTGTGTTCAAGTTCCTTGTTAACAGCTTGAAGATTGCGATATTTTGATTGCCATACACGCAACTCTTCTGCATGTGAATGTAATAATTGAGGAAGCTCTGCATTGGTAGATTCGTATTTGGATAAAGCAGAATCCTGACGTTTATGTAAGGTACGCAAAATACGATTTTCGTGGGCCAATTCCTAAAAAATTTATTAGCTCCTTAATAATTTCGATAGATATATAAAAAATACTTACAGCTATAGTTTGTTGGGCATCAGCCAATTGATTCTGATAGGTTTTCATTCTCAAACGTCGTGCAGATAAAACTCTTTGCCTCACTTCATTAGTGGCTGGTATAATAGCAGGTTGTCTTGTTCCACTTTTATTGTTTGCATTAGCAGTTGGTTTACGTCTGTATATTATATTGGCCGATCCTTTTGAACTATTCGAATACAGACTTTCACAGCTTTTAGCAGCGGTACTAAAAACAACAAACAAATAATTTATTTATTTAAAAATTCATTACTTCTCAATAGTTTTACAACGTACGTATTCATTTTTACTTCTTCTTCGGGTATAAGACTTAAAGCAGATGAGGCTTTACGCGGTGATACCATTTACCTGTATATAGTTTATAACAAATATATTGTATATTATATTTTATTTATATTTTGAAAAAATAAAATAAACTTATTTTTGTAAAATTGAGAAATTAAATTTGTTTGCTTTTTGTAATACCAAATTTCAATATTTTTTGTAGAACACAACAACTTTTTGATGGGGTTTCAATAGAAAACATGATGAGTTATTGAAAGTAATTTGACGCTTCATTGCATCTTGTTTATCACCTTGGTAAATCACCATAGTGACCAAACACCAAATGCCTAATGTGACGTCAGTAAAAACTGCATTTGATGTATTGCAATACAACTGGAAGGAATCCAAATATTTAGTATAAAGTTTTAACCGGAAATGGAGTATAATATATTTGTACGCACAGTGAGCTGGTTTAAAGGTATGTATATAATATCGAAACTTTACCATTAGTATAAGTATAGATTTTTTCTATAAATATTTCACTTTAAATTTCTAAAATGTTATATTCAATTGACCAAATGTTTTCAAACGTTGAAGTTGTGTAAATTGTCTTTGGTTTTTCTTTGTTTATGTATATTAGAAAATTCGAAATTATTGTCGAAAAAATACTGGTAAAATTATTTGTTAGTCGCCAGAAGAGTTACTTTACATTTCGATTCAAATTGGAAAGCTTTTTTCGCAAAAACTATCTATCTATGTATCTATCTATCTATCTATCTATCTATCTATCTATCTATCTATCTATCTATCTATCTATCTATCTATCTATCTATCTATCTATCTATCTATCTATCTATCTATCTATCTATCTATCTATCTATCTATCTATCTATCTATCTATCTATCTATCTATCTATCTATCTATCTATCTATCTATCTATCTATCTATCTATCTATCTATCTATCTATCTATCTATCTATCTATCTATCTATCTATCTATCTATCTATCTATCTATCTATCTATCTATCTATCTATCTATCTATCTATCTATCTATCTATCTATCTATCTATCTATCTATCTATCTATCTATCTATCTATCTATCTATCTATCTATCTATCTATCTATCTATCTATCTATCTATCTATCTATCTATCTATCTATCTATCTATCTATCTATCTATCTATCTATCTATCTATCTATCTATCTATCTATCTATCTATCTATCTATCTATCTATCTATCTATCTATCTATCTTTCTATCTATCTACCTATCTATCTATCTATCTATCTATCTATCTATCTATCTATCTATCTATCTATCTATCTATCTATCTATCTATCTATCTATCTATCTATCTCTTTTGGTCTTTCTATTACTGTTCAAATTTTGTTCGCTTCGACTGTATCAATCTATTCTTCTTTTCAGATACATTCATAACAAAACAATGGGTCGTATTAAAACTAAATTCGCCTTACTATACTGTCAAATTTATCCGATACTTTACAAGCAATGAGTGAGAGAAGAATTCAAGTTGGAATTTTGTGCTCATGAGAAAGGTATTTATTTTATTTCCCATGTAAATTTGTATACAAATTAAATGCGGTGAAGTAATGTTTTAATAAGCAATTGGGAGTTTCCACAAAAAAATGTATATTGTAGATACCGGTAATAAAATATTCCGTGATGGAACTTTACAATTTTAAAATGACTTTTTAAATATATAACTAACGATTTTAATTTATATTTGAGGTGTGGAAATATTAACGTTTGAAATTATGCTAAATTTTCCAGAGTTTCTTACGATTTTGGGTTAATAAGCTTAGCATATTTTATAAATTATATAGCATATTTCAAGATATAGAGAGTCATAATGGGTTCAATTTATTCTCATTTAATTATTTTATTTAAATTTTATTCATATGAGAATTGAATCTGTTCCAATAATTTTAGAATTTGGCAAGGATTCTTCTTATGTGAATCAATATAAATTGTATTATTCATGTTTAATGAATTAAAATGTGTGGTCGGTTGGGTTTTATGAATTTCCCCCCAAAGAGAATAGAAAATTCTTGTAGTAAACAATAAAGATGAATTCGCCTTGAGTAAAGAAACAACACTCTCAACCCTCTCTGGTTGTTGGAACACACCAGTGCAAGAAGCACTGTGTGATGGAATTTCATGTTTTTTCAATTTTTCACATTTTAGTCTCAGTGCTCATGCGACGCGTATACAACACGTTTACGGGAGATTAAAGTAACAAATGCGATACGTGTTGATTGTGTAGTTTATATTTTGTTTAAATGGTTAAGTGATTAAATGAAGGAAAATCAAATGGTTTCCTCGCCCAAAAAATACACACTTGCCGTATGTACCAATGAAAAAGTGAATGAAAGAAAAGAATTATAAGAAAAAATACAACAAAAAGAAGTATGTAATTAAAAGTGCGTTTAATTTTATATAAAAAAAAAAAATAAAACACAAATATTTTTCAACAAAATTATCTGTGAAAATTGTGTAGCAAGAAAAATTCCAATAAAAAATATATTCACAATTGTTGGCAGATAACGAACGCATTCAAATACGAAAACAAGAAGTGAAAATTTAATTTCAAAAGTAACTGGGATGCAAAATACGTAAAAGTGAAAAATCGATCTGCACTTTTAGAGTAAAATAAAATAATTTTGTTTAGTTGTTGGTGTTTGTGTGTATCTCAATCAAAAGTTATTGTTGTTGTATATATCTTTAATAATGTTTAGTTAACGGTAAACAAAAGGAAAAATACATTTCGTAATATTTGCAAAAGCAATAATAAACAATATGCTTTAATAGCCATAGAAATAATGGAAATTGTTTAAAGTTTATTTAACAAAATAATAAAATCTTTATAAGTTTTTGTCTAAAGATTAAAGTTTTATCAAAATTGGATAGAGTTTTTGGTATGCAGCTTAGGAAAAAATCATTCTACAAATTTCCCTAAAAAAAACTTTTAAACGTCATACATTTTGATAATTTACTATTGCCGCATATTTCCTTCTTTTTTAGCTTTTCTCTAATTTTAACTCTCTGTCATCTTTTGCTCTCTTTTAAAGAGCAGTTATTAACCCACTATTGGAAAAACCATTACGTTAACAAATAAATCGTTTTGTAAATTTTAAAAATTAAATTTAAAATTCTGTTTTTTTAAGCTTAAATCGAGTATATATAAGTTTAAGTCATGCCGTATGTAACACATTGAAATATTGTACGTGATACCGCAAAGTGTATATGTATATTTCGGGTCCTTAATGATTCTAACACGATCTATTACCGCCCGTCCTCTTTCGTAAAGACGACCTTTTAATATCTATGTATATATGACGAGTGGGTAAAGTCAAGAAGACAAGAAAAGAAATTTTCGTTTAGCCGGTTTTAATGGGCAAGTTTTTATCCTGAAAACAGAGATTTTGGCATAAAATAAATTTTAGAACTTTTAACTAATTTATGTAAGTTTTATTAAGAAACATATGTATGTTTGACAGATTGTGCGGAACTAAAAGAGTTTCAATTTAAGTTGCCCAAAATCACCCCCCTACACATTAAAGGGTTAAATGAACAAAACATGAAATAGAAAAATTGTATACGAAAAATACACCAACACAAAACTAAAAAAAAAAATAAAATACGAAAAACAACAATAAATATGTACAACAAAAAAGCAACGTGATTAGTCATCCATAAGATACAAGTTTAAAAAAGAGTAAATATTGTACAAACGAATGAACGGACTGAGTATGTATATGAAGCAAAGATACGCAACGTGTTTCATTCAATACTTAGCTTAGCTTTAAGTTTTGAAAAAACTAACAAAATTATACTTTGTACATTATACAGATTCATAGTCTTTCTATAAATATTTACCTTAAAGAGTCTTGGCCATCTCAAACTAAAAAAGTAAAAATTTAATTACAAAAGATAATTACAAAAAAAAAAAAAACTAATTACTTTAATTATAATAATAATCTCAAGTTATAGGTACATTGTGTTTAAAAGATTTGTTTTTGTTGAAACATGTAAGCGCGCTCTTCAAAAAATATTAATATTAAAAAAGTAAATTAAAACAAAATAATTGATTCTACAACAACTCACATCATCTAGAATTGTTTTCAATATTACAATTTGTTTTAAATGCAATTGAGTGTGAGTGAATTGAGATTCTAATTGCAAGCAAAATTATTAATATTAAACAAACTAGACACATATGTAACTACATACATACATATGTATGTAGGTAGTTAATAAAACTATTCAATATGTATCGGCTGAATTTCTCTTTATAGTTTTTATATATTTTTTATTATTGTTGTTTTATTTTGCTGCCGTTTAGAAAAAAAGAACAAGAAAAACCTGTTGGCGTTGGTGTTGTTTCTATGACCTCCACTCACCTAAATAAGGCTTGTAAAGTCAATACGATGTATTACAGCGGCTTTAAGTGCCAGTGGTTATAGAAATTATTCCAATATAGAAAATAGTTTTAATACGATTGCTACAGCGGCACACTTACTATTCTAAATACGGTACGTGCATAGTACAATAATGACAAGTTCAATGTATCTGTAGAAATACCTTTAAGATACATACATACATATGTTTGTATAAACTGTGCAGTTAGTGAAGTGTATTTATTACTCTATTAAAAGTGATTTTTTCCCTGCAACATTAACAAACAACAACAACAATAACTACTGTTTACAAAATACATACTACAATACCCTTATAACTTGAAAACAAAATTAAAATAAAAAAAAATTTTAAAATTCTTAGTAAATAGGTTTGGTTTGTGTTAAAAACAGCATTTTATTAACTAACTTCTACAAACGTGTTTATAAAACTTTTATTGTTTGCTGTCTGACATACGTCCACGTTGTCGTCATCAGTAACAACATCAAAATTACAAAAAAGAACTACAACAATATAATAATATCAACATAATGACACGCCTTACCGAAGAAATGGTCATTGCTAGATCCAAACAATCGGATTTGAGCTCTATTAAAAAACTTAATTGTTGGTAAGTTTGTTGTTATTATTGTTTTAACTTTTAATGTTGCCTTTATTCATTATTTATCTGTCGTTGCAGTTTTATTTATATCTACACTATACTATTTTTCCATGTCTCATCTCATATTGTAATTTGAATCCAAATTGAGTATATGCAACAAGCCTTTTTTGTTGTTGTTTTTATTATTATTGTTGGGCTGTGAAATGTTTGTTGTAATGCGGTGTAACGATGTTAATGATGATGATCTTTTGTCCATTATTCTCGGTGCAATATGTAACGCTTCGTTGCATATTATATCTTTATAAACATATAGTGGGAACGTTCAGTGAGTGTTAGATGAAATCCTACAGAGAGTTTGGATTTAACGTTTACCACAAATGTGGCTTTTTATATGTAGTTACTAGCGAATTTTGATGAATAATTCAGAATTGTTTCTTATAATATTTAACAATTTTAAAAATTATTTAATTAAATTTAAAAAAATTGTATAGTTAGATCCAGATTTATTAACCGAAATAATACAGAATCTTAAAGCTAACATTTAAAACTTGCGTCAAACCAGTTTGAAAATAATACTTTTTAGTAAAATTGTCTAGTCTATATTCTAGTCTATAGACTAGACTATAGACTAGACTATAAACTAGACTATAGACTAGACTATAGACTAGACTATAGACTAGACTATAGACTAGACTATAGACTAGATTATAGACTAGACTATAGATTAGACTATAGACTAGACTATAGACTAGACTATAGACTAGACTATAGACTAGACTATAGACTAGACTATAGATTAGACTATAGACTAGACTATAGACTAGACTATAGACTAGACTATAGACTAGACTATAGACTAGACTATAGACTAGACTATAGACTAGACTATAGACTAGACTAGACTATAGACTAGACTATAGACTAGACTATAGACTAGACTATAGACTAGACTATAGACTAGACTATAGACTAGACTATAGACTAGACTATAGACTAGACTATAGACTAGACTATAGACTAGGCTATAGACTAGACTATAGACTAGACTATAGACTAGACTATAGACTAGACTATAGACTAGACTATAGACTAGACTATAGACTAGACTATAGACTAGACTATAGACTAGACTATAGACTAGACTATAGACTAGACTATAGACTAGACTATAGACTAGACTATAGACTAGACTATAGACTAGACTATAGACTAGACTATAGACTAGACTATAGACTAGACTATAGACTAGACTATAGACTAGACTATAGACTAGACTATAGACTAGACTATAGACTAGACTATAGACTAGACTATACACTAGACTATAGACTAGACTATAGACTAGACTATAGACTAGACTATAGACTAGACTATAGACTAGACTATAGACTATAGACTAGACTATAGACTAGACTATAGACTAGACTATAGACTAGACTATAGACTAGACTATAGACTAGACTATAGACTAGACTATAGACTAGACTATAGACTAGACTATAGACTAGACTATAGACTAGACTATAGACTAGACTATAGACTAGACTATAGACTAGACTATAGACTAGACTATAGACTAGACTATAGACTAGACTATAGACTAGACTATAGTATAGACTGGGCAGTTTATAAGATAGGGAAAGTACCGAAAATGTCGCAGGGGTACCGCAGTATTTTATGGAATCAAAATGTACTGAAGTACTGAATTTTCCATGCCTGATTCAGACTATATTTCAACACTCTTTTTATTCTGTTTAAAACGGACCCAATTTGGTGGAAGTGGAAATAAATGTATTTAGTACAACATGTAATAACATTTACTTGTCACGTTTCTTATGTCGGATCGTTTCAACACCTTTTTTCTTAGCAATTCATTATTTATTTGCCATGTGTCCCCATGATGTGTCCAATATTAATACATACATACATATGTATGTATTATACGTGTTAATAAAAGTGCACCGTAGTTATTTTAAACATAGTTCCAATGAATTACATTACATCCGGTAAAATAAAGGGATTTTAAATTTTTCAATTATTTACACATTGTTTAAAATCATTCAAATAAAAATGCTAAAACAAATAAAATGTTAACCCTAATTAATTGAATTCAATGTTATTCTTTAGAATAAACGTTATTTAAGGTATGCTTACACAATGTTCAAATATTTGATGAAAAGTACGTGACCACTAACGAAATTAATATTTCACTTATATTTAAATAAGATTTTATAATGTTTATGTAGAATTGTATTAAATTAATTTTCAAATAATATTTAGGGTAATGTCTAGGGTTTTGATAGAGTAAACGGTGTTCATTGGAGTAAACATACCCTTTATCAATTCTTAAGGTTCATTTAAAATTATATATTATTTAATTATATACAGTAGGTGGGTACCAAATACAAAATTGTCAATGTTCCAACAATATAACCGAATCTTTCAAACATTTTTCCAGTTAAGGTTTGGTTTAACGTTAGTGGTTAAACGAGTTCTTGTATGTATCGGTATATGAAACTTCTTTCAATTTTTTTATCTGTCGTTTCCTACAAATTATTTAATTACATTTTAAATGTATATTTTGAGATGTAAATGTTTATGGTTCGCTAACAAGCACTTTGCCACTTAAACTCGCTTTTCCAAGCATAAAAAATCAAGTAAAATAAAGACCGCTTCACAGTCAGAGGTGAAAGAAAGAAAAATAAACCAAGAAAAGAGGAATTAAAAAGAACATTTAAAGTTATTATTAAACAAGTAAGAAAGTATAGTCGGGCGAGGCCGACCATATGATACCCTACACCAGTTATGAATATTAAATGTGATTTATTTTTCATAATAAAGCATTTATCTTCAATATTCCCTTGTTCCGATACATTTATGCAATTTATGGATGAAAAACTAATTTTCTAAAAGAGGCTTTATATGGGGGCTAGGGGCAAATATGGACCAAGCCCGATAAAATTTTGTGAATATATTTATATTTACATAATATTTTATTGTGCTGAATTTCATCGCGATATTTGTGTTTATAAGTTAATTTGGGACATTCAAGTAATTTTCTGAAGGGGACTTTGTATGGGAGCTAGGGTCAAATGCGGCCCGATCTTTATGAAATTTGGCAGGGTCATCAAGACTTCTATAAAACTTAGTTGTGCCGTATATTATCGATATATCTGTATATTTAACATAATTATGAGCTCAGAAGCCCTTTTCGGGGGGTTCTGTTCTATGGGGGCTAGGTGAAATAATGGACCGATTTTAACCATTTTCAATAGGCTTCGTCCTTGGGTCAAATAAAATGTGCATGCCAAATTTCATCCAATTATCTTGAAAATTGCGACCTGTAGCTTGCGCACAAGGTTTACATGGACAGCCAGCCAGCCAGACGGACGGACGGACGGACGGACATAGCTTAATCGACTCAGAAAACGATTCTAAGCCGATTGGTATACTGGGTCTAGGACGAATATTTTTGTATGTTACAAACATCAGCACAAATCCAATATACCCTCCCCACTAAAGTGGTGTAGGGTATAAAAATATCTTGGAATGACCTGAATTTAGAAAATACAATATTTAGGGAAAGAAAAGATAAACTAGAGAATTTGCTTATTACAGAATAAATGCTAAAATATCCCTAGAGGGGATAAAGTATTCCCTCTTGTTATATTTCGGTACGATAATTTATAAAGCTATTCCGTTTAAAACTTTTGACACCAAAATCCCATCGGGATTCTTATATTTAAAAGAACCTAATAATATCTTTAAACAACAATTTTATTCTCATTGTCTAATTGTTTATAGTTTCGTGAACTTGTTTCTTTTTCCTTATCCATTAAACAACATTGAAAGAAATCGTGCTTAACCCACATCTTAAAAATTCACAACACCATATTTGTAGTATGTACTCTACTCTACTCTCAGATCAGATTTGATTTGATTTTACACTATTGTATGTTAAATTAGAGAAAAATAATTGTGTGTGAGTGTAATTTTATTATAAATTAATTTATTTATTTTCTACTATTTCCAGGGGAAGTGATCTCAGTGATGTTTCAATTATAAAACGAATGCGTGGCGTTGAAGTGTTGGCGTTAAGGTAAGTAATACTGACTCAAGTACTTGAGTTTAAATTTAATTTTTTAACCGGATTTTTTTGTAAAATTATAAGAAAATAATAGATTAAGCTATAAATTACCTTATAGCTTAATCGCATATTTACTGCGAGTATAATTGTTTTAAATAAAATTACGTTTTTTTCTATAACTTAGCGTGAAACAAAATCGAAATGGTAGAATTCTTTAAGGTATTGGATAATATTTTCGCTTACATTTCAAAATATAATACAATTTATATTCAAAATAATTGGCCACAACTTTTGATCCAAAATTTTCAGTTGTTTTTAAAAAACCCAGTAAAGAACACTTTTCTAAGATTTCTACATTTCGAGATATATCAGCCTAAGCTTAGTTATGTATTATGAAAGAACCATTGGATTCAAAAGGTTTAACCCTTTTTTTTACATACATATGTATGTATATCTTTCTATTTTGAGATATATTAAAATTAAGTTAAAAAAAATATCTAGTTTTTTTAATCCAATGGGTTCAAAATTTGTTGGATTGTGTTACTGATATTTCTAAAAGTGTTTCTCTAATTGCAGTTACCGTCTGTGTTGGTAAATTTTAATCTTCAACTGTCTGAAATCTTAATTATTGCCCACTTCTTTATTGGTTCAATTGAACTAATTTAATCCTTTGAAATATTTTTTAATAAAAACATTTTAATAATAAATTTATTTGCGGATGTGAATCATTCAAGTGAATAATAAACACTGCACTATAAATCAAATTCTAATAATAATAATAAAAAATATGTGGTTTTAAGAGATTTGCGACTTGAAAATCTCCTACAAAGCTGATGTCATACTACGTATTGGTTTAAAAAAACAACAAATAAATTTATCAAATAACTGTGTTTTTATATTAATACAAATATAAAACACCATTTGAGCGTAGGATTTACCGCCAAATATGGCGAAATAAAAAACAACTTTTAGGTTTATATCAAAATAAACAAGTGTTCAGTTTTGGTTAATATGTAGTTTGAAATAAACATAATTTGAATTTTTTATAGCCAAGGTCGTTATAAAAAATAAACAGTTGTTAAATACAATACTTTTTTTACCTTTTTCTCTAATTCTCTCAAATACTTTGAGACTTATTTATAGCCATATATAGTATAGTGTGAGTGTTTATTTTTTCTAATATTTTTGTTAATGTTAATAAATTAAGCCGAATAAATTTCAAGATTCATGTCATTGAACTTGTTCTTTTGCATTTTGTTTAAAATTATTTTCTATATTTAGTTGTGACACAGAATTTTATTAAACATTTAGTGGAGAAAAAAAAGGCACAATAAAATTAAGTAGACATACTACGTATAGTATAAGTAGCAAAATAAATTTATTACAAAACATTCTTAAGATATGTTTTTTTGATGAATAAGTCGAATTTTGAATACACTATACAATTTTGAAAAAATATTAGAGGTAATCATTTTTGTAGTTTATATTCAAGAATAGCAAATACCCTATAATGTCTTGCGACAAAACAAGATTAAACTTAGCAGTGTTGCCATACAAAACAACAGAAAATGTCACTGTTTGTTATCAAAACAATGCATGTTTTATAAAAAAGAAGAAGACAATTGTAAATTTAATATGAAAATTAATGAAAACTTAAATTTAAAACCAAAAAAAATTTATTTTGGTTGTGCATAATTTATACTAATCAATAAATAGAACATTTTAATGTTTATATTTATAAAAATTGTATTATTTTTTTTGCATCAGCTGTTTACACTTTTGCATTTCATGCTTAAGTTTAAACCACCTCCATTGGGCGCTTAAACTTCGCAGTGTTGCCATACAAAACAACAGAAAACTTCACTGTTTGTTATCAAAACAATGCATATTTTATAAAAAAGAAGAAGACAATTGTAAATTTAATATGAAAATTAATGAAAACTTAAATTAAAAACAAAAAAATGTATTTTGAAGTGTCCATAATTTATACTAATCAATAAATAGAACATTTTAATGTTTATATTTATAAAAATTTTATTAATTTTTTTGCATCAGCTGTTTACATTTTTGCATTTCGTGCTTAAGATTAAACCACCACCATTGGGCGCTTAAACTTGCAAACAAAATTAACTAATTGAGTACTCAAAAACATCTTTCGAGGATTAATTTTAATTTAATCGCTAATCTTTCACCTAAATATTGGCCCTAAATAGTTTACAAATCTAAGTTAAATCCAATAAAATGATCAAATACTGGCAATGTATTAAATGCAACGATTAACTTATAAAACCTAACCTCCTACATATAGGGGAAATTTTCAAATATTACATTTTATGAAATTAGATCACTGGGTATATTTTCATGCTAAAAACAACTATATTTCTTTATTTATACATTTTTAGTGTCTGTCTGTTTTATTTATTGGGGGTACAAGTTGTGTTTTGATTTTATATATTTTTTTTATTAAGTTTGTTTACATGCCTTTTGCCGGCTTTTCTTATAAATGTGTATGATGATGAGTACGTAGTATTCCGTTCCATACATATTGAAATAGGCAGACATGAAGGAGGTGGTGTAACACATCTAGATCAACTGTATAAATACTTAAAACTATAAATACGTTTATTATTGTTTTAAGTATTTAAGGCCTTAAACCAACTTAAAAAAAATTTTAATGGAAATATGTTTGACTGCATTTTGTTGCAATGTGTCGGTATTTAAAATAAACTATACGTTACAACAGTGACATCACAAATAGTTGGATATTATTATTTATTTAAAACATAAACTTGTACGGCCGACAATTGCCTTAACACCCAAATAGTACATATTTGTATTTTAAAGAAACTTGTTCCACCTTTACTTAGTTCTACTGTTTTTTTTTTTTTTTTTTTTTTTTTTTTGTTTTATAGTAGCTCAGTAACTTTTACTTTCTTTCTATAAAATATAGATACCATAGATACATATTTGTTTAAGAACTTGTTGATTTTCGAGTGCTTTGAATTTAAAAAATTGTATTTACTTTTTGTTTCTTTTGGTATTATGGTGCTTCTCTATCTTATCTCAATTGAATGAATGTGTTTAATGACGGCATTTTCAAGAGTTATCACTTTGTTTGCACACTCACACGAGTATGTTGTGTAGATTTTTGTAAATCTTGAAATTTTTTTTGATCTTAAAAACAATATATTAATGGTATTCACTAATTTTGTAGACCAGAATTTTGCGTACAGAATTAAATTCCTACATCACCTAGAGTATTATTTTTTAAAGGATATGAATTCACTGAAATCTCAACTCAGGTTTTCGAGATATATACTGCAGCCTAAAGTTTTTCTAAATATTCGATGCGTGTTAACAGCATCGTCTTTTAAACGACATTATAGACTAAAATACTTCAGAAGCCTGGTTTTAAAATCAAATTGGGAATCTTTAGAAAATATAACAAATTTAGAAAACATAAAAAATGGAAATGAAAATAAAAATTAATTAATCTATTATCGTAAAATTTTCGATACTTTGAATCTCCATACAAATCATTTTTATAAATCCACCAAAAGCCATGAAGAAGCAACTCGTTACCACGACAATTGAATCTTCGCTCCGGAACGGCCCGAGTCATACTCGGCCAAAGATTGTCAACCCAGCGACAGCTGTATCAACCGAAAGTTTTTTCCCCAGGAAAGAACTATCGGCCACAGTCGTACTGTTACAGCAACAACAAGAAACAACGCATTCTGGATACGAATTTCTTTTACAATCAATTTCTTCTTGTATTCCTGGTATAGAAATAAATTTCGTATGAAAATTAGTTTTTTAAATCATTGTTAAATTGTTATTATGAATAAGGGCCTAAATAACAAGTGGTATGAAATATTTAGCAAGCATATCGTATAAATAAATTCAAGATAAACAAGTAATAAATGTTTCATACTTGCCATTAATATTTGCTATTGCCTAAAGGCCTTATTATTATTTGTTTATAAATATTGATAAGACTTCTGAACTACTTATTAATTATAAATATGAATTATGTATAATACACTTGAACAATTCATTGATATTTGTTTTAGGATGGGTAACTTGACAAAACAAATATGTGACTCTTGAAAATAAAAAGTAAAATTGTCTATAATTATAAAACATTTTAGAGGATAAGAATCTTATCCATGACCTACAGCATACAGTTATCAAATGATCAAGCTCAGCAAATACAATTTTTTCTATTTGTTAGCTCTACTAAACAAACAACACAACAAATTAATTACTCAACAATTTTGGGAATTCTATATATTACAAATTTAGTACAATTGTACATTTCTATTCTTGTCAATGGTTTATGAAAATAGTTTTTCTCTTATTTATCTATTTAAGTTAATTTAAACAGACAATTTGTTATAAATTTACAATTTTATAAATGAAAAATCATTGAACTTCTTTTACTTTAAACGAATTTAAATTGAATTGAATTCATGTGTCACGATCTTGTTGAAATACAGTACATACTAAAATAAACACAATAAAAACAAGCAATTTCTTTCTTTAGTAAGAAGATTATTGACCCCAATTTACAGAGTACAAACAAAAACTATGTATGCTAGAGGTACATACAAACCAAAGAATAAAGAAAAACTTATTCTTTGTGTAAAATCAATTTTATAAAACCACAATTACCAGCAGTGATTCACTATATAATTGATGAATTCACAACTGTTTTATAAATTCTCTCTTTTTCTCTATATTTTCCCTTCCTTGACTTTTTTTTTGGTTTACCTCATTTTACCGTTATATTAATTTACTTGTTTTTCCTATATTTTCAGTGTCAATAAGATTAGTACGTTGCAACCATTTGAAGACTGCCTGAAATTACAGGAATTATATTTACGTAAAAACAATATACAAGATATAAATGAAATTGCATATTTGCAAAATCTTCCAAATCTTAAGTATTTATGGTTAGAAGAGAATCCATGCTGTGATCGTGCCGGAGCCAAGTAAGTAAACTTAATGAAAACATTTGAATGTTTATTTATACAAAATTATTTGCGAAGGTGTGAGAATTGGAAAAATAAACCTTCTTTTATTCATATTGACCTTGTTCGATTTGCCTCTTTATAGTTATCGTGCAATTGTGTTGCGTGCTTTGCCAAATTTAAAGAAACTGGATAATGTTGAAGTGACACAAGAAGAAGTTGATGAAGCTTCACGTGGTGGCAGCGGTGGTGGTGGAGTGGCTGTTGAAGATGATCCCTATGATGATGCCTATGAACAACAACAGCAGCAGCAACAACAGCAGCAACAACAATATGAACAGCAACAGTATCAACAACAGCAGCAGCAACAACAACAAAGACAACAGCAGCAACAACACCAACAACCACCACAGCCTCAACAACAACAGTATCAATCATCTCAGTATCAACAACGTCGAAGTTCAAGTCCACAAAAAGAGGTAATTAAGTAACAATAGCAGCAATAAGTTATAGACAAAAGATTTGAATAATTAATCTTATTGGGAAACTGCAAACTCATATTAATATTTCCAAATAAACAAATTCAAATTTAGCAATAACCTTTACCCATTTGCCCAAAAAGTTTGCCACACTAATCAAACTCCTCCACAATGTGAATTTTATAATATAGACTAACCAAATGTAGTTATGTTTACAACATTGTATTAAACAATCTAAAATCTTCGTTATGAATTCGATACTAATGATTTTTGCCTAAAGAATACGTTATTTTGATATTGAAAGAAACTTAATATTTGGCAGTTTATTTAAACGGTTTTTGTTAATTAAAGAAAACTTTCTCATTAGTGACAGATTTTCATTAACCTTAATTATTCTTGCAAACACAAAGTTGAAACTAAATTTTGTAGCACTCGTTATTGGGTCAACGTTAAATGACTATTGATTTATTGAAATGACTATAAGAAATTATATATTTTGGTCATTAGGTCATTTTTTTCATTACGAACATTAAGTTATAACAGAAGTAATCTTGATAAGTAAGACCAATATGAAAAAAATTGTTCATTAATCTTGAATTGAATTCATTTGAATAATTATAAAATTATATTCAATACATTTAAATTTCTCTTGTTATAGAATTTTTTCTATCATGCTTAAACATTAGTTTTTTGAGAATGTTTTTATGGAATGAAATGCAAAAACCTTAAGCCTTTAATTTTGGCTATTTTCATTTTTTGATTTTCAATAAATAAAATATAGTTAATTCTCCTTTTTCTAAATAATAAACGACGATAAATATTTATATATACTTTTTATTAACTATTAACATGCTTACAACTACTACTAACTTCTAAAAACGAAAAATTTAACAAAAAATAAAAAAAGCCTCCGCAACAAACAAGTCCTGCCACAACAGAAGACAGTGTAAGCGAAACAAATAATGCTAATGGGTCGTCTAAAGCCTCTACGCCATCTCAGGTATTCCAAATAAAAAAAAAAACTATAATAGATTTTATGAGTTGTTTTGTTTTGATTTGTTTTCTTTTTTTCTTCTAACAAAATTCAATACCATTTCACTTTTATTATTTGTTAGCAAAAGAAAATATTTGCATAAATTTTGTATTATTAAAGTTGTTTTGTTATTTATATAGTTTAATTATTCTTTTGTTTTGTATTTTTCAACTTTATATGGTTCGATAAATCCAAAGATTTATTTCATTTTGTGTTAAATATGTTGTCATTCCCAAATATAGTTTTGTGTTCTTAATAATTATTTATTTATTTAGACAAAATACTTGTTTATATAGCGTATGATTACGTTACGTTATTATTAATAAGAAATTATAATGATAATTAACGAATTCACGTAATCATCATTCATTTTCTGCACTAAAACATTATTAACCAGTTTCTTTGAAAACTGTTCTTTTCTTTCTTTTTTTTTCGCACACAGGAACAATTACACTCACCATCGCCAAAATATAATTCAACACCCAAAGAAAATCGTTTATCCTACCATCAATATGATGTAAGAGGAAATTTTTCTTTTATTTTTTTTTTTTTTTTAATTTATAATAGTAATAATCTCATCATCATCATCATTATCATTAGCATTATTATTCATGATCATGGTCATAAACTTTTAAATTTGCCATACCTACACATCATTAGTTGTTTTTGTTCATTAGTTTCTTTAAAGTGCGAATTGAATGATTTGTCATGAAAAATTTTTTATATTTTTTTCCATTGTACAAAAACTCATTTTATATTTGTCAAATATTAATAGGTCAAGTCACGCAATAATGGGGTGTCATTTTGATTCTATTTCTTGTTGTTGTTTGTCCATTGTTTTATAATATTATTTTAATTATAGCTGATGAAGAATATAACTAGAAATCCAAATGAATCATTTACCACATTTCTATATCAGATCGGTAACACACCATATTTTTACATACCGTTTAACGTTTTAACAAAGAAATTATTTATTTACATTATAATTTAATATAAATATGAGATTTTTTTCAATCTATTATTATAATGCTTTATAGTTTTTTTTTCTTTACTTTAACAAGTTTCATTTCAATTTCAATGGAGAATCTTGTGATTTGTATAAACTATTTATATACACCATTTCCCTAAGAAAGTAGTTAGTTTTTTAAAATCTAAGTTACTCCTAAAAGCCTGACCTTAAACTATAGCTATATCAAGTAGGGGATAAGTAATTAGATTAATTTAAATTATTAAGGCATACAAAATAATGTTTCAGATATTTTAAATTTATTATCACTAAACATTGACACCCATTGAAAAATTGCACTTAATTTAATTTAAACAAATTAATCTCAACAACTTGTTTTTGCTCATATTCTCATATTTATTTAACTCATACAAAAAAAAATACGTCATACTAATAATAACTGGCATTGAAAATACACACAGAGATCACCTGATACAGATCAGGAAAGTCCACATGGTGGAGGTTTTAGGGTACCTATACCACCCAGTGCTTCGACGCATTCCATGAAGGTAAGTACAGGAATTTGTTTTGAAGTTTTCATTTTTGGTTGCTCGTATTTTGCTATTTCTTTTTTTGGATTATTTATGGATTTTTATGTTGCGGGTTTTATTTTATTTCTACACGTTTTAACTATTTTTTTTACACCACCAGAACGAATATTTGTTTATGTATTCCTCTTTTGTTTTTTGTTTTCTTCTTTCCTTTTCCTTTTTTGTACAATTTTTTCCATAAGGAATACTATCAGTCTGATCGTCCTGCTTATCCTGCCCACTATCGTCACAGTCAAACCGATTTAACTGAATGGGATGAACATCATCAGCAACAGCATCACAGTAATCACAATCCTTATGGCAGTACGGCTGCCCTACATCACATGGGTCAAAGGCGTAGCGCCGGACCCGAGAGAACAGAACCTGTAGATCGTTATGCTTATAGAAATGGCAGAGAAAATGGTGATTGGGAGGATGAAAGACCAAGACCAAGGTAAGTAAAATTTTATAAATTATTATTTATTGTTTTGCTTTTTATTAACAAGTGCTTTTTTACGATGTTTTAGACGACCCGATGGCCGTTATGCCGATTCGGCTAGTACTGTTTCCACAGCGGTATTAAATCATTATAGTGGTTATCATAGGAGACCAATTAATAGAGTAAGTTCGTTAACACATTTCTAATAAATCTTTCTCAATTAAAAGTTGGAAGATTTTAATTAGAATTCAGAAAGTGGTTTTCAGATTAAGATTTTGTTTTGAAATGTTGAAAATTTTTGATAAAATTGAAATTCATAAAAAAGATAAACATTTTTATTTGAAATTTAGAAAAGCCCAATAAAAAAACTAAACAAATAGCTCTAGAACAAGTGAAAATGAAACACTTTAGACTCTTAAATAGCAATCATGGAACTTGTGATTTCGCGATTACTTCTAGAACTCTTTCTCTGGAACATTGTTGTGAATGATAAGTACCTCCTAGGAGTTGCGAATGATTCAGTTCTAGTTATACATTAGTACAACACATGTTCAATGGAACGCATATAAGTTTTGAAGCATCTGATTGGAACCGTTTGGAAAAATGTCAAAAAACATTTCCCCCTTCGATGTCATAAGAGGAGTCATCCCAACTAGATACTCCACCAAGGCATAACAGAAAGGATCTTCGTATGTACGAGGAACACATACGCAGATATGTGCAGGATCCATTAGATCAGACCTCGTATACGTCAGACCGTGCCGTCCCCAACGAATGTCCTACATGTGGTCAGAGTCCTCAGGACACCCACCACATTTTCAACTGTTCAGCCAATCCTACTTCACTCTGTCCAACGGATTTATGGACGCACCCAGTTGCTGCTTTAGCTGTTACAACAACAACAACAACTAGTGTCGACTCCATAACGATCCTACAGAAGCAATTTCGAAAGTGAAAATTTCGAATCAAATCGTTGGTTCTGACGTCAAAGCAGAACAAATGAGACAATTTTTCCTAGAAATGTTTCAAACGAAAACCTCAACAAAAATAGGCCATTTCCAAATAATAAGTGGTAAATCTGAATTAAACTATACGTTCCTAAAATCTGTTGAAAATTGTATAGTATAGCTGATGATTTCACTTTGAATATTAGTTGGGAAAAGTTAATAGTATATTAATTCTGAAAATTCGTCTACAACATTCCATAAAATAATTCTTTAAAAATGAATTCCTTCCTATATTACATACCATCACTACTTATTATTTTTATAAATTTTGAATTTAGAATGTATTTTTTTGCCCTTAATGTCCTTTGTACTTGTAAAATCTGATATAAATCATCTTTGGCAAACATTTTGATTGGCACTGTTAGTGCTTTACTGATATTTGATTAAATTTGTACAAGAACAATTTTTTTATTCTTATTAAACAACATTAATGACATTTTGATTTTATTCTATCTCCTTAGAGCTCCAACTTATTGTCGGCGACATTGTGTTTAGTTAAAGAATTGGACTATCCCAGCCTTGAAGTAGTTGAACATGCAGTACGCTGTCGCATTGATGAATTGTCTGCCGAATGATGATGAATAAGACGCATGCCCTCCTATTGATATGGATTAAATGCATGCTTAAATTTGATATTTTGCAAACATAAAAACTAATTGTACAATATATGGCTAAAATATGTTTTCGAATAATTTTCTTATTTTTCTACGATTTTATAGCAACAAACATTAATATTTAGTTTATTAATTCAGTTTATTGAATTTAATTCAAATTAACGGAATTTATTTTGAATATCAGTTACTATAAAATTTTGTTTTTCTTTTTATAATAAATTAAAATTAATACTATAATTTTGCTAATGCAACAAATTAATAATGAATAAAAAAAAAAACAAATTAGTTAGTTTAAACTAAATAATGAAATATAAAAACAATATTTAATACAATTAATATTAATGAAAGTAAACATGATAAAAGACAAAATATTCGCTTTAAAAAAAACTGTACTTATTAATTAAACTAAATTAATTTATTAAACATAAGTGGTGTAACTTTAATACCAATTTTTTTTTAAATTCTTATATTTATATTAAACAAAATAACTAGCAATAAACTAAATAAGAGTGAAGAATATACAAATACAGTTTATAAGAGATTTAAAACCCACAAAACAGTTGAATATAAACAAAAAGCTTGCCAATTATAAAAATATAAAAAAATAAGAAAAATAAATTAACAAACTAATCTACAAACAAAATGCTACTAAAAGTATTTATAGCAAATGATTATAAACGAAATTTTACAACAAAAATTAAACATAGAAACTAATAAATTGAAATAATAATCATTAATAAAAAAAGAAAAACACTTCCTCATCATAGTTAAATGTAAAAGCGGGGGCTCTTGCAATAACCGATGAACATATAAAGATTTGAATATATAATTTGAAAAAAAAAAAAAATAATTGTATTTTATTTACTATATAATAATAGTTATATTAACGTACAAATCCTATTCTAAAATTTTGATTTTAATTAATTTTTTTTTATTATAAAGTAATTGTTGTGTTTTTCTTTTAAACTTTTACTTGTTTTTGTTTATAATGAAATGGCACAATTTCTATAAAATTTATAATAATTTTATGTAAATATATATTTTAATAATTTCAATTTGATTTTATTTAAACACAAAAAAACAAACAAACTCTAAACGTCCAATATTTGATAAATAAAACAAATTCACAACTACTTACAAAACTAATCATTGTAAAGAGAAGATTTATTTATTTAATAGTTGTTGTAACAGTTTTGCTGTTGTTGGAAGTTGTTTCCTGGAGGAAAAACTCTCGAAGGAAAAGCTATTGCTTGCTGGGAAGACAATCATTGGTCGTTATACATACAATTTCTTGCTGAAAGATAAAGTAATTTATAAACAAATGTAACAGCATTATTGTTTAAAACATTTAACATGAACAGTATAACATTATGTTCTGTTATAGTTTATTTTATTATAGCATTGTCTGCTTTATGTGGGTATAACAGTGGTTTGTGTTTTTGCTATATTTAGTGGATTTTTTGTTTAAAAATAGACAAACAGTTGTTGCCAGACTATTAGCAATTTTACATTTGTACTAAATCTGAAGGTTTGTGACTTGGCTATTTATAACAGTTTTATATATTTGTACTGCACGCAAGCTAAATAAATTTTCAAGAGATATCAAAGTTGTTTATAAACTTTTTTTTAATAATACATTATCTCGGAAAATATTAGCGATAACGTAACAAAATTTCTCATGGTAAGAACTGAGATGTTTTCGAGTTAATTTTCATAGACTGAAAGAAGGACAGTGGGTTGATCTTCAAAGTTGGCAACTTCTGGCTTTTAAATACATTTCTGATCCGGAAGAACTGAAATTTAACATATGAATAGTCATCCCCCGGGAGTTTGTTTTCTTTTCCATGCTTTAGGTAGAGAAGAGAGAACAAACTCCCAGGGAGTTTATTATTCGGAACATATCTGAAAATTGTTCTTATGATGCTCTACAAAAACATACATGTGTTATCTCTTTTAGTTAAAGAAAAGGCGTATGGAGGGTCGAAATTTATTAAAATGTTAATTGTATATTTGTGTTAAAATTGTATATAAAATAGAAAAAAACTTGTCCACAGTTATTACATCCATATATGTAAAAGTTGTGAAAGTCTTCCCTCAAAATATAGCCTCCCAAGACCTATACAAACTTGATCATATATGTTATTATTTAAATATATACAAAGCTTTTATAACATATGATAAATAACGTCACAGTGGAGAAGTAGGAGATCAAGAACATATGGACACGCTAAGATTTTAAGCCTATTACCTCCAATCTTGAACCAATCATCTGACTATATTACCCAACACACGGACTTTGATAGAGTTTTCAGAGTCATAGTTCCTTCTAGGAGCGAATGGTGTGGAGGTAACCTACCGAACGTATGTACCACCAGAATCTTTACAGATGGTTCTACAATGAACAGCGGTGTTGATTCTGGTGTCTTCTGTGAAGAAGCCACCGTCTTCCTAACAACTGTAGTGTCTTTCAGGCTGAAATATTTGCGATGTAATATATGACCTCAATATTCGCGGCAACATAGGAATCTTTGTCGATAGTCAAGCGGCACTTCTCTCACTAAACTCTTATACTACCTCTTCCCTATTAGTAAGACAATGCAAGAAGGATCTATCAAGGGTTGGTCGCCTATCTGACATTACCCTTGTTTGGGTCCCTGTGCATAGGGTAATGGGTAATGGTAATGAACAGACAGGTAAGTTTGCCAGAACGGGATCTGCTCCTGATATTTCGAACGCCGTTTCAGTAACAACTCCGTTAGGTTTTATCAAGAGCAGTATCCTCAGATTCTTTCTTCAAAAGGCTGAAAATAAGTGGAATACATGTAAAGGGCCCAAGTTATTGTGGCCCTCTGTCAATGAGAAACGCTCAAGATACCTTATAAACCGAAATAGGCGGGACATATCGAGGGTGATTGCAGTATTAATAGGACACTAGGTGATAGGCAGACATGCAAGTCGGCTTGCGGTCCCTTTCAACGATCACTGTCGCAGTTGCAAAGACAGGGAAAAGGAGGAAACGGTCTTCAATCTCCTTTGGCCGTAAAGAGAAACCGCTTATATCCGGATCTAATAGTATAAATACTACATCTGACGAGTGGTGTGGTCCGGTCAAAACGGAGTCTCTCCGACTCTACTTGATAGTTCGCGTACAGTGAACTACCACGTTAACCAACCAACCAACGTCACAGTGGGCACTCTTAGCAAAAAATTAGTTTTTTTAAAACGGTGAAAGTTTTTAAGAATTGTGATAGTTTTATGTTGAAAATGAACATTACTAAAACTACTTTATTTTAGTAGAAACCACAATTTAAACAAAAGTTTGCAAATGTTTACACTATTTGTTAGTAAAAGTTATTAATAATTTTGTTAAATACTTTTTATTTATATCATTTGCCTTTATTATTGTTATATATAGATTACAATTTCAGTTTTTATAGATAATATGCTTAAATACATACAGATTATAATTATAATTTCTTTTTTTTTTATGTATTTTTTTTTTAATTTAAGAACTTAAGAATTTTCAAATGCAATAAATCGATTTTTTTTTGTTTTGTTTTTTTTTTTTTTTTTGTCTTTTTCATTTTACAGTAAAACACTTGTACATACAGATTAATAAAGAATAATTCATTTAATTTTCAAATAACAACATATATTTAACGATAGTATTATATGATTTGTTTTTTTTTTAATGATAATGTATAATGTGTGCAGTAGATGGAAAATAAAGAATTAAAAAGCTTATTAAGAAAAATAAGCCATAAAATAAATAATTGTTAAGAAAATAATAAAATATTTTATAAATTTCACTATTATTTCAAATTAAAATATTATGTTTTATTTGCAAGAAATTTTGAAAAAATAACCAAAACTTTTTGTTATGTTTTTCTAATACTGCCTTTGTTTATTGTTATTTTAATTGAGATTTCTTAAGGTATAGACTGCCATCATCAGTCATATTAACTGTTTAAATAATTAACATTCTTATTTCTTTACTCTCTTGCATAATTTGTCTATTTTAATAATTCGATGATTATTATTTATTTATTTATATTTGTTTAAATATATTTTTTATAGCTTAACACTTAAAATTTAAATTTGAACTTAATTTATATAGCCAACAATAGTTATTTGTTTGTTCTCTTTTTTTTAAATAAACTCAACATAATTAAAACGCTTTTTAATGCCACTTTTAGTTTCAGCTTAAACAATGAAATAGAGAATTCTTAATTGGCAGCGTTATATGTAATTTATATATGTATGTAGTAAGTTTTATAATTTGTTATTATAATCTGTTATTCTATTCTGATAATTGACACTTGTAAGTGTTTATTCATTTGCTTCTTTTTTATATAGCAATTTTTGAAAATGTATAAAGAGTACATTTTAATTCATATATTTATACTGCCATTTTCCCGAAGCCGAAAAATTTTATGTTCAAAGAATTTTTATGAAAGAAAAAGGTTTTCAAATTATAAAGTTTTTCTAGCTTTTTCTAAGTTTAGAAATTCTTTCTTAAAAATTCGTTTGTGTCACTGTTTTCTTGATATCGGGTATCTTGGCAGATTATTTTCTTTTGTAAATTAAAGCAACAAAAATAAATAAATTTTTTTAAAAATAATATTTTAAACTTATAGGAATATTAGCTGATCAACAAGCACAGGTCTCTTTGCAAAGGTACATAATCGTTTTGAAAATCGGCAATAGAACTTTAAATGATTTCTATATACACTCAAACTCAAATAACTTAAAAATATTTTATAAAATATGATTTTATAAAAAATACTTAGAAATTATATAAATATAGTAACGATCGGCGGTTTAGCAAGTTCATTAATGAAATTATATATAATTAGTGGGAGTGGAATAGCAAATATTACAAAATTTAGAACTTTTTTTTAAATAAAAATTATAGAACTAAAACTAATACAACATTTTTAGAGACAAAGAAAAAAAAAGGATAAAAGTTATAAATTTTTTTGCAAGTTGAATCTTCTTTAAACTAATACACGGTGCCACTAAATAAGTTATGACTCAGCAAGATAACTAAAACCAGTTAAAAGCTTAGAACCTAATGATTAAGTAAAATTGATTGCTTTTCTTTTTGATAAAAAAAGAATCATTTGATCTAGAATGTAGAAATTTGCACTATTTTTGGATTAACATTCTAAAATTTGAGAGAAATAATGAAAATTTAAAAACTTACTAATGTAGCTTTCAATTTTAATTAACTACCAAATCACTTAGCAAGTGTTCTACAGTAGCACCGTGTTTTTCTGGCAAGCCTTATGGGATTTTTCAATATTTAACAAAATTTTTCTTTAATTATTTCATTACAGTTGTAAACAACAAGATATGTTTTGTATATATGTATATAATAATGTTGGTTTGTTTAATAATAGTTGTATGATCTACAATTTCCTCACAAAAAGTAATTGACCCTCTAGTCGAATTTCTCCAAAATAAAACTTAACAAAATACATAAGTAAAAACCTAACATGAAACTTTAAAATTAGTCTTAAATAAACAATTAACAAGAAGTTTTCTTAAATAAACTTTAAACATTAATAACATTTTTATAGGAATTATACTTATATAAACATTGACTAGCAATTTTGTTGTGTGTTTTGCATGATTATGAAGTGATATGCTTTTACCTTAAAGATATATCTTGGTTGTTTTGTTGTTGTAGTATAGTAATTTCTAAATTTGTAATGTTTTATTATTCAACTTAACATTTTTTTAATTGGGTTTTTTATATTTTTTTCTTTGGTTTTGATTGAAACTTATTTTTTCGGCTTAAAATTAAAATATTTATTATCATCTGCACTTAATGAATTCTAATAATTGTTACATTTTCAATTCAATTAAATATATTAATTACCATGATTTAAGTTGTTGCTGTTGACAATTTACAAATCATCACCCAATCGATGTATTTCATCTAACATAAAATCAACATCAGCTTCTGTTACAGCAGCTGAAGAAATAATTGAACGGAAGAAATTGGGTCGTCGATCGTCGGGTTGATAGCCTACCATAAGGCTGCCCTTTTGCATCATGCGTCCCTTGATAATGGGACAAATCTGGACAAAATAATAAAACAATAGGTTAAAGTATTTCATTAATTTTATGACTAAGTTTAAGTAAATAAATTCCTCTCTTACCTTGCCCAATTCCTGTTCTTTTTTGGCATCATGTGGCACACCACGCAATCTCTTGGGCACATACCAAAATGAAACATTTACACACTCAGGTTCAAGTATTAAATGGAAACGATCTGATTGTGCTCGTATACGTTTCACTTGATATTCGGTCAATTCCATTAAACGATCTTGTTGTCGTTCAAAACCTTCGGTACCCTTTGAACGCCACTGTAACCACAATTTGAAAATATCATTGTGTCGTCCACACTGTATGACTTTGTCGCCAGTATCGTAGCTAATATCGTATTGTTTATCAGTCATAAAGAGATATTCAGCAGACATTTGATTACAGCTGATTAAAAGACCCTAAAAGTAAAATAAATTGAAGGGAGTTTAAATAAAATTGAATAATATTCAGCCAAAATGTTGATCTGTAGCCAATTATCTTCTTAAATTAAAAGAAGGTGAGACTATAACGTATTCGAAGTTCAACAGCGTAAACTTCATTAAAATAAAAATATTAAGAATTTATTGTTTCCACATTAGGTGATGGTTATCGCAATTATCTGAACTGATATATAAAATAAAAGAACGAATGATCAACCAGACTTCGCCTAAGCTTATTAATGAGAAACCCCTATTGGTATCTTATCAATGTGTAGTCTATAGTCTAGTCTATAGTCTAGTCTATAGTCTAGTCTATAGTCTAGTCTATAGTCTAGTCTATAGTCTAGTCTATAGTCTAGTCTATAGTCTAGTCTATAGTCTAGTCTATAGTCTAGTCTATAGTCTAGTCTATAGTCTAGTCTATAGTCTAGTCTAGTCTAGTCTATAGTCTAGTCTATAGTCTAGTCTATAGTCTAGTCTATAGTCTAGTCTATAGTCTAGTCTATAGTCTAGTCTATAGTCTAGTCTATAGTCTAGTCTATAGTCTAGTCTATAGTCTAGTCTATAGTCTAGTCTATAGTCTAGTCTATAGTCTAGTCTATAGTCTAGTCTATAGTCTAGTCTATAGTCTAGGTCTATAGTCTAGTCTATAGTCTAGTCTATAGTCTAGTCTATAGTCTAGTCCTATAGTCTAGTCTATAGTCTAGTCTATAGTCTAGTCTATAGTCTAGTCTATAGTCTAGTCTATAGTCTAGTCTATAGGTCTAGTCTATAGTCTAGTCTATAGTCTAGTCTTATAGTCTAGTCTATAGTCTAGTCTATAGTCTAGTCTATAGTCTATAGTCTAGTCTATAGTCTAGTCTATAGTCTAGTCTATAGTCTAGTCTATAGTCTAGTCTATAGTCTAGTCTATAGTCTAGTCTATAGTCTAGTCTATAGTCTAGTCTATAGTCTAGTCTATAGTCTAGTCTATAGTCTAGTCTATAGTCTAGTCTATAGTCTAGTCTATAGTCTAGTCTATAGTCTAGTCTATAGTCTAGTCTATAGTCTAGTCTATAGTCTAGCTCTATAGTCTAGTCTATAGTCTAGTCTAGTCTAGTTATGTCTAGTCTATAGTCTAGTCTATAGTCTAGTCTATAGTCTAGTCTATAGTCTAGTCTATGTCTAGTCTATAGTCCTAGTCTTACTAGTCTATAGTCTAGTCTAGTCTATTCCCTAGTCTAGTCTATAGTCTAGTCCTATAGTCTAGTCTAGTCCTAGTTCTAGTCTATAGTCTAGTCTATAGTCTAGTCTATTAGTCTAGTCTATAGTCTAGTCTAGTAGTCTAGTCTATAGTCTAGTCTATGTCTAGTCTAGTCTAGTCTATGTCTATCTAGTCTAGTCTATCGTCTAGTCTAGTCTAGTCTATTAGTCTAGTCTATAGTCTAGTTCATAGTCTAGTCTAAGTCTAGTATCTAGTCTAGTTCTAGTCTAGTCTATAGTCTATAGTCTATAGTCTAGTCTAGTCTAGTCTAGTCTAGTCTAGTCTAGTCTATAGTCTAGTCTAGTCTATAGTCTAGTCTAGTCTAGTCTATAGTCTAGTCTAGTCTATAGTCTAGTCTAGTCTAGTCTAGTCTAGTCTAGTCTAGTCTAGTCTAGTCTATAGTCTATAGTCTAGTCTAGTCTAGTCTAGTCTAGTCTAGTCTAGTCTATAGTCTAGTCTAGTCTAGTCTATAGTCTAGTCTAGTCTAGTCTAGTCTATAGTCTATAGTCTAGTCTAGTCTATAGTCTAGTATAGTCTAGTCTAGTCTATAGTCTAGTCTATAGTCTAGTCTATAGTCTAGTCTATAGTCTAGTCTATAGTCTAGTCTATAGTCTAGTCTATAGTCTAGTCTATAGTCTAGTCTATAGTCTAGTCTATAGTCTAGTCTATAGTCTAGTCTATAGTCTAGTCTATAGTCTAGTCTATAGTCTAGTCTAGTCTATAGTCTAGTCTATAGTCTAGTCTATAGTCTAGTCTATAGTCTAGTCTATAGTCTAGTCTATAGTCTAGTCTATAGTCTAGTCTATAGTCTAGTCTATAGTCTAGTCTATAGTCTAGTCTATAGTCTAGTCTATAGTCTAGTCTATAGTCTAGTCTATAGTCTAGTCTATAGTCTAGTCTATAGTCTAGTCTATAGTCTAGTCTATAGTCTAGTCTGTAGTCTAGTCTATAGTCTAGTCTATAGTCTAGTCTATAGTCTAGTCTATAGTCTAGTCTATAGTCTAGTCTATAGTCTAGTCTATAGTCTAGTCTATAGTCTAGTCTGTAGTCTAGTCTATAGCCTAGTCTGTAGTCTAGTCTGTAGTCTAGTCTGTAGTCTAGTCTGTAGTCTAGTCTATAGTCTACCCTATAGTCTAGTCTATATTCGGATAAGATATAACTATTTCGACTCAATAGCTAGATTTTAAGTTAAAAATATTGTAGTCAATTTTCTTAAAATTACAATTACAGATTAAATGAAAATAGTTTAACCGAAATTGAAATAATATTTAAAGCGCCATCACTCCAACTCTTCCATAATACAATAAACATTTTTACCATATTTAAGAGAATATCAAATACTTATATATTGGTACATTTCAGGGGTGCAGATTTGATTTTGCCTTCCTGTTTTAAATGGGCAATAAGTCAAGTAAGAAATTTTAATTAAAAAATTCCTACGAAAACAAAACCTTTAAAAAAAGTAATTTTGTTACACAAAATACCATCAGTCGCAACTGTGACCAATGACGGAAACATATTGTACGAATGAATTTCTGTAACAATGTTTAAAAAGTTATTGCCTTTTTCTACTAAAATCAACCCTCCACCTCCTCCTCCCCTTGGCAAGGGTGACTCGAACATTTGCATGGCAGCAGAAGCTGCTGTATGACAGCTGCCCTTTTTTTTATATTATACAAGTTTTAGTTGGAATGATGGGATGTAAAAGATGAGTTTGCCAAGAGCTGCATATTTTGAATTTTTTTCTAAGTGAAAAATTAAACTGGGGGGAAAAGTTTGTATTATTTGTAAATAAAATTAAACTTTGAATATCAAACCCGTAATCAATATTCAATCATTGGAATCTATTGAACAAACAAAACATGTTTTGCTTAACAAAATTTGCAAAATTTTACAAACTTTTGTAAATTAATTTTATTGTTTACTTACATCCTCTTTGAAATGTATAGTTGAACATTGCAATAAAGCTCCCATCAATTTGTGTGGATTCCAGGTAACCGAATCAGCTCTAAAATTATACAAGAATAAACCACAAATTATTAACAAATTTAATTACAAACAATAATATGAATAAACGTAAAAATTAATGCAAACAATATAAACACAAATTGTATTTGTATTGGTAACTGTGTGTAGATGTCATTTATATTAAATGTTGTTCAAATACAAATTACAAACAATTAACACTAATCCAGGCACACACACTCTCATCTCCGACAACCACCCCATTCCTACATTCGTACTTTATGTTCTACACGTCCTAATTGAATTTAAACAGAGAGCAGAGTTGGTTTTCTATGTGCGGTTGTTCAAGACAATTGACAATCAAGAGGGTTGTCGTTGTCCTTGTGCAAGTGCTAAACATCCCTGTGGGAGCTACTTATGGTTTATTTTTGAAAAGGTGAAATATTACACCAGCAAAAAGGCATTGGGGGATTAATAGATAAAGTAACTGTGATTTTTTTATTACCTCTACTGAGTATATCGTAAGTTTGTAAAATATCTATTAATAGTAAATTTTAGTTCGAAATCTCATTTCAAATAGCTTTAGTGATACAATTTTTGAAATGTAATCAGTTTTAAGAATATGATATATGTACATAGCGTATCCGCAGGAGAACCAGTAGTTATTTCCTAAATTTGAAAAGCTGGACATAGTTAGTTTCCTGATCGCTTTTCACAACATCTTACCACAATGTAATTATATTTCCTGGGACGTAAACTGCCTGGCAATTATAATCCTGAAATCTCGGGAAATTATGAGGAAATTTTCGGGAATTGTTTTGCTTCAATTTAAATTAAAAGAAAAATCTTGCAAAAATATATAGATAAATAACAACCCTTTGAATTATATGAGCGTCTATGACAGACATGGAAAATTTAAATTTTAAAATAATACCAACCTATAATGAAAATAGTACTTTTTAGGTTTTAAAGTACTAAATTAATTTTCCCCTAGACTATATACTGGAATATAGACTGGTTTATTTACTACGATGAACTACTATTTATCAAAAATGTATAATTTAGAAAAATTAGCGAAAATGTCAAATAGTACTGAAAAAGTACTAAAGTACTAAATATTCCATGCCCGGTCTAGACCGTTACAAATTCAAACCTGGAATTTCAAAGAAAGTTTTGATCGATTTTCTTGCCATTAATTAATGCAAAGCGTACTTTTTTCAGTACTATTTGATGTCGTAAAATACCGCGGTAAACCCACGACATTTTCGGCACTTGTTTCTCTGAATTATAAATTTTTTAATAAATAGTAGTTCATCGTAGTCAATAGACCAGTGGAATACTCAGCGATGAAGAATTTAGTATCAGCCCAGCAGGACAAAGAGTCAACGCATCCGCAAAAGACAGTGATTTCCATCAACGTGTAACCACCTGGTTGGCTCTATTTCGTCTTTCGTCACGAATTTTCTCTTTGTAAACGAGGGTGAAGATAATCGTCACCTAAGTGTCCCCTTTGTAAGCGTCCACCCTATCGCTTAAAAAACAAACTTAAGCTTTTGTCTATTTCTTCGTAATCTATGGGGTGACGATTAACTCCCTCGTAGGACACGTTAAATAGGTAGTTCGGGACTGTCCGACCGAACTGCTGGGAGTATATATACAACGATTCTTTTGTTCTAATTTTTAGAACAATGTATTACTTTCAGTCGGAATATAACGTGATATAGCCCGAAAAAGATTCGTGACCCGTTCCTTTCTAATGACATAGTCTTTCTCCTTAACTTTCTCTAGATATCTTTTAAGATCCAAGAGTTTGTATTCTCTCACCCTTAAATATGCTTTTTGACATAAACTACATTCAACATATTTGCCTTCTTTTTAAACTGACAAGTTTATACTATATACATAAGTATATACTCGTTCCATAAAATGATTATGTTCGTATGTCTATAAAAATTACAATCCTGGGAATTTTTGCAATTTGTCATTTTGTTAAATGACAAACATACACACACAGCGGGAGGAGAACTTAAACGACATTCATGTTTAGAGAGTTCATCAGGTGTTTGAAAAGCTGCTGGCAGGATTACAAGGATTAAGCAGTTGTTTGCAAAGTTATGTTGTTGTAACAAACAAAGTGCATTTAAAAAATGTTAAAAGACAAATAAATAAAGAAAATGGATTTTCAAAACAAAAAAAAAACAAACTAAACGGAGCAAGAGAAAATTAAACATATACAGGCAGGCATGAAGACCCGCACAATTGATATAAAAAGTACTAGAAGTAGTTAAATAAGGGTGTTCTGGGTGGCAAAACATTGTGTGTGTACCTTTTTCCCTTAACAGACTTTTAATTTAAAAAATTTACTTTAAGAATTAAATGCACATGAAATAATTTAAATATTCTCCTTAGAAATTCGTCGACAGGATTAAAATGCAATAACAACAAATGTTTGAATTTTAAAATAGAAATTGCACTTAAAATTCTCACTCCTAGTGGTGGTCTTTAGCTGCTCTTTTAGTTTTGCCTCTATTGTGTTGACATATTGTGGCCGAAAGTTTCAATTTTAATCCTTAAATGGTTTACACAAGAGCTATATAAAATTTGAATTGATTTGATTAACACATCCATCATCTGTGAATGGTGAGAGATTAAAGGAAGGAAACAAAAAAAGCTTTCAGTCTCTATAATGTTAAACATTGTTTCTTTTTTTTGTTTTTTGCTTTTCTATTGGGGACTATTGAAAGTAACCACTAATCCTTGATGGAATTTTGTATAGAGTGGAAGCAACATTTAAATTCTTCAGTTAATGTTATGTAGAGTGAAAAGTATTAGGCGTGTATTAGTAAGAGTCAGTGTTGAAAAAGAATTTATTCATTGTTGGGTAGTAATATGTAATAAATGTATAGGTAGATCGATTCTTGATTTCGTAAATCTGGACAAAATGCTATAATTGGTCGGAGTAATAATTCATAATTATCTCTGAATAAGTTCTTTTGGCTTTGGTAAGAATTGTCATGGATTTTCTAGTTTCTTTAAGTTCTCTTAAAATCCGTTAATGTAAGAGAAAACAAGAATGTACAAGTGCTTCACGTGAACACCTGCCTTGACGGCCTTATTTCACCCACTGAGTAGACTTCAGAACGATCTATATCTGAAGTACTCTGAAGTACTCGAGCTATCTAATCTCTTGCCATAGTAGCACCGTTGCGGAATGACTGGCAGAATGAGATCAAACCCAATGCAAACCAAGAGACAAGGAAAATGCAATCACTGGGCTAAAGTCAATAGAAGGGGAGACAACACCAACATCCGGTGAAATCAAACATCCAGTATCTTACGCCAGAAGTTGACCACTCTTTAGATGTCATGAAAGATTACATTATTTAAAATGCTATCCCCATCAACTAATGACCCATTTCAATGTATTCCTTAACCTTCTAAAGTCCATGCAACCACACTACTAAGATGGCTCTGTTGAGTCCGAAATACCCAGCTAATAAATCAGGATCCATATCTATGTCAGATGATGTGACAAAGGATGTAGGAATTTCCAAAGTCAATTCGAACGCAATAATTGCCCCGAAGAGTTGAGTGGAGGGCCTCAACCATAAGTCGCGTAGCATGAAACAATATGCATCCTGTTGAGATGGCAACAGCACCGGAGAGAGAATCCAGACATATATAGCATAGGATATATATAAGTCTTTAAACCAACATTCTCTCCCCGCGAATTTGGGTTTTAACCACAGCCATTAATTGGATCCCGAAGGAATCTCAACTGACCTGCGGGCAACTGGCCACCCGTAGTGCCAGATTATATGGTGCTCTTGTTCGATCCCATGTCAAATCCTTCCAAGGAAAGGCCGAGGATACATTTGATCATCACCAGTTTAAAGTCCCTGTAGACTAGAGGTATTGGTAGCACCTCTTTTCCACGGGACATTACAATAACACCAGGATGGAGATTTCACCAAAACAATATACTTTTTAGGAAACGATAGTGCAAAAGAAGATATATATTACGGGGTTAAACTGTGGCTGATAGTTCATTTCAATTATAGCGGGAACAAATCATATCGAATTGTCCCTCTCGCTTTCATTTAACTGATTTTTGTCAAACGTTTCAAGAATGAATTCTTTTAAAGTTCCGATAATTATTCATGCGGTTACACTAAAATAAAGTGGCTGTATCGATGTTTTTTCTCCTTCTTGTGAAATTTTCACACATTGAAATCAGCTTAAGAAAATTAATCAATTATTGAGAGACTGACAAGTGCCTCTTTTAGAAAAATGAAAGCATGTCTGCTTAAGAATATTTGATTAATGACAAATTTATTATAATTTAGTTTAAAGTGTGCTTTTAATTTAAGTGATTTGTGGAATTTCTTTTAATTTGTTTCGTTTTTAAATTAATCTAAGAATTCACAAAGAATGTACATATTTTTTATTTTAATTTACCAAAAGTTTGTTTATTGTTAGCAATAAAAAAATCTATTGTTTTATTTCTATTACAACATAAATGCGGCTTTGAAAGGCAATTACTTGCAGGCATAGTCGGCATGATTTATGAAACTGTAAATTGTTAAGGACATGCCTGACATATGGTTGACTTTCAAGCATGTGAAGGTTGGTGGTTATATACTAATATGTAATTCACATTTTATATTATGATAAATTGTTAAAAAATATAATAAAGACTTACCGCTCAACTCCAGTAAATCTAGGATGACGATATTTTCGTGATAATAATAAACCGCCGCCCCAAGCAGCCTACAAAGACAAAATTATAAAATTTTTCATCAAAATTGATCTTAAAACTTTTATATAAATTAAAAAAGATTAGACATTTTTGCAAGATTAAGGAAAATCTTTGCGAATAAAACACTTTTACTAAGTATATCAAATTATAGGATAATATTATTAAGATCTACTTACATCAACATGCATCCAACAATTGTATTTCTGGCAAATATCAGCAATTTCATTTAAATTATCAAAAGCTCCCAATACTGTAGTACCAGCAGTGGCATTCACGAAGAATGGCACATGACCCTTTGATTTTCGTTGCATTATAAGACGTTCCAATTCGGATGTAATCATACGACCATGTTCATCTGAAGGCACTGACACACAATTATCTGTGCCCAAACCACAAACAGCAGCACACGATTTAATCGAATAATGACATTGATCTGAAGTAAACATGACCAATTGGCCGGGTAAACCGGCAGCACCATGTTCCTTATAATTGGGGAACATTTTGTGGCGAGCAGCTAAGAAAGCGTATAGATTGGATATAGAACCGCCGGGAGCCAATATGGAATCACCGCCATGCCAGCCAATAATTTCACGCATTTTCGATAAAACAACATTTTCCATTAAAATGAAAACTGGTGCAATTTCATAGGTGAACATGTTGGTATTGGCAGTGGCAGTTAACCATTCACCCGCCATGGAGATAATGTCCAAACCACATGATAATTGATTAAAGAAATGGGGATGACCTGTAAAAATTAAAAATAATTAATTTTTCATATAATAAACCAACTTTAAATCAAAGATTAAAAGCAAATAAGAAACAAAAACTTCTTGTAATATTTCGAACATTTAAAATCCATTAAAATCAGTTACTTTATCTTTGGGTATATAAAAACAACATTTATGATCCTTAATCCTCTATAATCCTACAATATGTATATAGAGAGAAAAAATTGGCAACATAATCTGCCATCTCAAATTCCTCTGCCAAACCAAACTACCCTCACCCACATCTTACCAAACTCTTCAGTTTGCAGTAGTACTTTAATGATACCAAACATTGACATTCATTCAGTCATATAATGTTGATGACTCTATATAGCCAACAAAAGATGAAAATAAATGGGTAAGAACAAACTTTAAGGGGGGAGTTTTAATCAAAATCCGTTGTTATTTTCTGTATCGTTGCTCACTGATCCTTTGATGCGAATGAATGGCAGCAAAACAATGTGTTCAACAAAAAGGTCTCTTATACATTTTGTACCTTCTGCGAAGGGAGAACAATTTTACTTTTGCCCATCTGTGTCAGGAAGAAGAAAAAGCTGCTGCCAAAAGTCGGTCTGTTCGTCTGCCTCGTGTGCAAATTGAAATGTTTGTGTCGTAAGTCAATGTAAAATCCTTTATGTGTATTTATAAGGAGACAAATGAAAATAAATTCTTTCTACCTTAAATAATTGTTGTTCTTGTACATTCGCTTGTAATAAAAATTATTAAGTTAACCGAATAATAATTATAATAATCGAATAATTGGTTCAAACTTTATATTATTTTTTATCATATTTCTAAATATTATTTTTAACTAAAAAATCAGTTCGTTCGTGTACAGGTGCGGGCAAAGGAACTCATCGGCGACAGATATCCAACTCTATTGATTCGTTAGAGTAACGTCAAGATATAGGGTGTGTTTTAATATATATCGATATTACCGTTCTTTTGCCGGGAGTATATTCCTTACTGTCCGTATATGGAATAAACTTCCGGGGAAGTATTTCATGTTACTTGCGATTTAAGTTAAGATTGCTTCAGAAAAAACTTATATACATTAGTCTAGCCAAACTTAGCCGAACAAATTGTTGTTTTTTGGTTATTAAAAATATGTCAGGCATTATCTTTCAAAAATCATCTACTGTAAATGCGGTCAAAATGGAAAGCTAAATCTTTCAAAAGCTGTATAGGGACATTGGATCGGGAAGAAAAAAGTGCTTACACATATTCTTCAGGTAAAAGAAGTCGAACAACTCTTTCGAGGAGAACCGAACACTTCGTAAAGTTGTGACAAAGCTAATGCTGGATTGAAGCCGTGTAAAGTCAGAAAGTTCGGCCAAAAAAAGGAGCGAAAAAAATTGACTAAAGTTTTATAAAAAATACACTCGTTAAGTGATGGATGATAAAATTTATTTATTGGGTAACTTCCGGGTTAAGATTTTTATGTAGCTTATTTGACGAGGAAGTTTCACCCCCCTAGAAGTTTCTTGTAGGTCAAGCCATTTGCAGTTGCAGCAAAAGAAGCCGATCATTTGTGACATCAGGCTCGATAAACACAAAGTGTATACAAAGGGCTTTTACATTCCTTAACTTTTTTACGATATAGTTCATCTTAGGCCTTACTCTATTGTTATACCCTTCACCTTTGTGAGAAGGGTATAAGTATAAGTTTGTCATATAAGTTTGTCATTCCGTTTGTAATTTCCACAATACAATTTTCCGAGTGTATATATTCTGGATCCTTATAGATAGCGGAGTCGATTAAGACATGTCCGTCCGTCTGACTGCCTATTGAAATCAATTTTCTGAACACCCCAGATATCTTCGGGATCCAAATGTTCTATAATTTTGTCAGACATGCTGTCGAGAAGTTTCACATTTAAAATCAGTAAAATCCGTCTTGCTGTTGATTGTTTAGTTTTGCTATTGCTCAAGTAATGGTAGAGTCATCGAACTTTTAATATGGTTAGTCCACTCTTTTTATAACTAAGACACAAACTATATTCGTTCATTATATAATCTGCACTATGTAACCGATTACTCACTGCCAATGTATAACAACACTAATTTTCATATTTCTCACATAAAAGCACAAGTATTGCTAGTTGATAAAAGGAAATAATAGCAAGATGAAAATTATTTTTTATTATGAAGAGCAGTCATTCCGTCGGTCGCTTATGGCTTAAAGCATTTGGGTTTTATAATAACACAACTTATGGCACTTCAAATATAAACTGACAGCAAGGATTTCTCTTTTTGTCTCTTTTGTAAAGAAAGGGGTTGAGTGTTTAGATTCATACACTTTTCATTACATGTGGTGTTGAAAAGTACTCCCTGGAGTGCAGAAACTGTTTGGCTTGTTTATAAACGTATTTATTTAATAGTCATGTGATTTGTGCAAAGTAATTTCCAATTAGCCCCCACCAACCCCAAAAACAAACTAATTGAGCAATTGTTGCACGACAACTCAAGAATGTTGTTTAAAGGTAACAAAAGTTTAGCAAAACAAAGGTCAACATTAAATAAAAGAGAATAATAGTGACCTTTAACTAGAAAAATCCAATATTGATTCCTTAAACATTTATTTATAGCGGATATAACATGTGTATGATTTATTGTCTGCTTTTGTATTTTTTGTTCTCAGTATGGCCTTGTTTTTTTGGTGAAATTCTTTAATTTTTATTTTGCTCCACATTCAATTATTAAAAAAAAAAAATAATAATAAAACAATAAACCTAAAAACAATAACAACATTCCTCCTGTTCGCCTGTCTGAACTTGATTGTTTCAATGCAACGAATTATTTAAGCTTTCTTGCATCCTATTCAGAGTTCCATTAACCCTCTTCCAATGTTTAGGCCGGTTATACGACTGCCAGGCACATCTGTTGTCAGCTTAATATTAGACATTCACATGATAAAAGACACTTGTCGTTTTTGTCTAGCATTTTGTTTTTCCTGAATACTTCCTTCCGTTTAATTTCATTTTTTGTTGCTTCTACTTCTCACTGTTATTTTGAACATTTAATATCGCATTTGTGATAGACAAGCGCAAATAATCGCTCATCTTAAAAACAAACCTTTTAAAGAATAACTAATACCTACTGTTATAATTTTGAATATAAGAATATCTGGGACAGTAGAAGAAATATTTGAGGGAACCAAAAGTTATGCAAAATTTATAAATAGATATCGATGTGTTCTTAAAGTGGCTTTTACATGAAAGATTTGGAATCAAATCCTCTTTCAGGCTACCTAATTATTGTAGTATTCTACAGGCAGAGATATCTGCTATTAAGTGAGTCGCCAACTGGCTGAGGTATTTTTAAATATCGGATGATATATGTATATATACGTATGTATATAAGCAGCGATCACAAAACTAGCGGGTGTCTTTACGACATCTAGGTTAACCGAAGAATGCCGGGTATCTCTGAATGAGATAGCGAGACATTCTAGGATAACGCTAATATGGGTCCCTGGATATAGTAATTGTCAGGGAAACTGTATAGCTGACGAACTTGCCAGGAATGCTGGTATCAGTCATAACGGGACACTGTATTATTAGTAATCACACCAGAAGAATGGGTCTCGAATATAATGACTACTGTAGGAATTGTAATAATGAAAAGGAAGAGGAAACAATACCTCGCCTTCTCTGCTATTGCCCATCATTCAATGAAAGCAGAGAACATTGTTTCGGCCTTGCTGCTTTATCTTGCCTGGATGTGCTATCTGGGATATATATGCCTAAAGAATATCTTAAACTTTGCGAATCAAACCGGCTGGTTTAAATCTGGAAGAAGAGAGTAATAATTAAATGCACTCCTGACCACTAGGGTAACACAACGGGACTGCAACTAGGTGGACCCACGTGAGCGACTCATTGATTGATTGAGTTTACCCTCTATTTTACCTTGTTATACCATTCACTTTCGTGAGAAGGGTATATATAAGTTTGTCTTTGAGTTTATTACATCAAAAATAAAATATTGGGACCTTAAAAGGTACATATGCGATTTATAACTCCTAATAGGTATCGAAGTCGGTTTAGCGATGTCTGCCTGATCAAATACGCAAACACCCTTTTTTAGTTAAGTTTGTTTTCAAATGTCCGTCTGTCTGTATCCCCCGGGCCATGTTTTCTTGATGATAGATGCCATCTTGGTGTATTGCAATCCCGGGGTAAAGAGGTGCTACCAGTACCTGTAGTCTGCCGGGACTATAAACTGGTGATGATCAAATGTATCCTCGGACTTTTCTTGGAATGATTTGACATGGGGTCGAACCAGGGAAGCACATAACCTGGTACCACGGGAACCGGTAGTCCGCATGGCAGACTTTATACTGTCCTGGTTATTGTACAGGTTCCTTCGGGGTGCACGTGGTGGATCTGGTTATAACCCTAATCGCGGGAAGAGAATATCGATTAAAAGACTGATACAAAGTGTCTCGATCTACCGAATACATCTCTAGGTGCTGTTGCCGGCTCAACAGAGGTCATCCCATCTGCGTGGTTGTTATCGTAAGTGATGTCTTTGCATCTCTGAAGTTAAGCAACGGGGCAGCAATGGTCAGTGATTATATATCTCGAGTACTTGAGCTATATAATCACTGATCTTGTAAATGGAGCGGCAGAACCATGTACAAAAATTGCCACAAAGAGGCATTGGTAAGTCGTCACAAAAGCTCACCCTGTGGGTGAAAAGACCACCTTGAATAAGGTGTTCACGTAAAGCACTTCGGCATCTTGTCCGTCTGTATGCTTGTTGAAATCAATTTTCTGAAGATCCATTCCAGTTTCATCGGGACCGAAATCTTCAATAATTCTATTCGAGAAATTTTATATATGAAATCAGCAAATTTCGAAAACAACACATGAAAATATTAATATTAATAATTTAACAGAAATATATTTTGTTCAAATACGAATTATTCTTCGAAATTTTTTTCCCAATCGGACCATAAAATCACTCCAATGCACAGAATTCACTTCTATTTAACTGTCGTTAAGGAAACTAAAGTTATACATTTCTTTATAAGTTTTTTTTATAAAGAAAACTTAAATGTATGTGAAGGGTATTTAAGATTCGGCATAATCGATATTTTTTTTTTAAATTGTCAAATAAAAATACTGTGATATCGCCAGTCAAAATTTTTATAGATATGGGTTTTTATTTCCTGATGCTATAACATCAACCGAAAATCACTTGCTTCATACATACACAGAAAAAAGTTTTAGCATAAATATTATGAACTGCTTTCATTGTTAAAAGTTAAGTTATTTATGAATAAGTTCCTAAATTATATGAATTTTTTAATTTCTAACTTTTCGAACATAATCTAGAAGCCTTGACTTAAAATAGCTTTGTTCCTTTACTTGTTAAGTTTGCAGGTTTTTACCAGAAATTGTAAAAGAGAACAAATTTGAGCAATTAAAATTATTTTCTCTTTGCCAGAACTTGCAGGTTTTAGCCAGAACATTTTTTCCTGGCAAATAGAAAAAAAATTGTCAAATAAATTATTTGTTTAAAAAAATACATTGAAAACAAAAAATGTTTGATATTTTTTATTTATTTTCATAAATAAGTATGTGTGATTGTAGTTTTTCAATTTTATTTTAATTTCAATAGAAATTTATATGAATAAACTTCAATACAAATTTATTGAAAGAGAAATTTTGTTTTTTCTGTTCCCGTACTTTTTATAAGTACGAAGAGAAAATTCATTAATTCTCTTTAGCCAGAAAAGTTCTGGAACAAAGCTAATATTTCAAATTTATTTTTATTTTTCTATTTGTTAACAAATGTTTGAAATTTTCTTAGGAAAATTTTGTATTTCTTTATGATTTTAAGATTAAAACCGATGAAATGTTCGCGTATTGGCGGGATTTTATCAAGAATAGGTGTTTAACAATGTTTGCTGATGTTTTCTTGTTTTAGATTTGGGTTTTCAACATTTCAATTTCTGGCTTTTAATTATACACAATTCGCTAATAAAGTCTTAATATCTACTGAATATGGAAACAGTTTAGTAGATAAGGGTCTTTTTGCATTTTTTCATGAATATCGTAGAAAAAAGGAAAAATTCAAAAAATTTCCGTCATGTTCAAATTCATACATTTTATGAACTTTTAATATTCTGAATGAAAATGGTTTGGGAAAAAAAGTCATGTTCGATTCATAAAATTTATTACCAAATTCATTCCAGATATCAATTATTTTTTTCTGAGTATGTGAATTTTCGATATGTGAATGTATCTTGTATTAAACTTGTTGTATTACAACTACGTCAATTTTCTAAAACAGTGTCAGTGACGTTAGTTATTGATATTTTAAAGGTAAGTAATAGCGATATTTTTCTTTGACCTCAATAAACGGATTATGTACTTTTTTTATTTAGAAAAAATTGTATGTAAATTAAATTTCCCACAGTTGCTGTATAAGATAAACAAAAAAAATCAAATTTGAAATCAAGTGTTATCAGTGTTTAAACAGGCATTAAAAAATAAACAATTTTCGTAAAAATTTGTCACCACATTCAGTGGGGCACTGGCAGCAGCAAGCAGTTACTACTTTGCCTTTGAATGACTGCTGCTGTAGAGATTTGTTTGTTGAACAACAAAATTTTAGCATAAATTTGAATATGATTATAGCGGTCGGTTTTGCATAATGGCATTTGTTGCAGATAAAGAAGATGATTTCGGTACAGAAAACATATGCACATCATTTGATGACAAAGACGTGTTCGATGCTAGTATTTACGAATTAGGGTTGTCAACAGCAGTAAAGAATGATAAACCATTTATTTAAGGGGTTAGGGTGGTAATGATTTAAGAATTAAAAAAATATTTTTAAAAAATCTAAATCGAATCGGCTAAACGAAAGTAAAACTTAAAGTCAATGATTTTAACACCCAGATTCCATATTTGTTAAAATTTAACATAAAAACTAACGAAGAATGGAACTCAATAGATCAAAAATAGGAAAGTTGCAAGAGAAATATGATTTCGAAGCATTACTTCTAAAAGTTCGAATAAAAAATACTTAGCAACACTAATCTAATCTATTAAATATTATGGAATAATAGAAAATAGTTAAGAACAACCAAATCGCCGAACTTCTTTTTCTTTGACTGCCACAGTCTGACCGAATTCCTAAAATTTTCAAGAAAAACGAAAATCTTTAAAATACGAGAAATAATTTTCATTCCTACAGTACGACCCTTGACCTTAACCGTTCGTTTACAGTGTGAGTGAATAGAAAGTGTTTGTTTGCTTGGCAACGTATTGCAACGACTCCAAAAGTAGTTGTTGTACATCCCAGTAGTAAAACCATTTTATGGTCCATTGAATATTGATATAAAGTAAAAGATTATTTACACCTATCAACCACAGACGTAATTCATTTCAAATGGGTTGAGAAAAGGGTAGATTTGATTTTAATACAAAAAAATAAACAAACATTTCTGTTTACACACAAAAACAGGGTGTTTAAACAGAGGATGTTAACAAAAGATGATGTTCAGGGAAAGATTACATCTAATATTTCTTAAAATTTGTAACCGAATAGTAAAATTACTTTCATTTATCAGAAGAATTGAGTGAAAATCTCACAACTAGCCACTAGTTACTACACTTCTAGTGAGAATAGTAACTAGCGAAAGAAGTATTCGCCCGTAACCCTTAATAGCAAAGATATTTAGAAATTTGGATAAGTATTGAAGTATGTATTTATCTAGTTCGATTTGAAACACATCTCTTTTCCGAAACACCTTTATGAAAGAAAACTCTCACAAAAAACTGAATACCAGATATCACAAGTAAAAAAACTAACAATACATTTATCATAATCTTCAACCATAATCATGATTTTATATTGTAAATATTGTTTTTTATGATCTCATGTGTATATTCCTTGCAAAAGTCATTTGGCAGTTTTGAAACCAGATTTTACTTCTATACAAAATCAAGCTAAAACACGCCTGCACTCCGCCCCATCACTCGTCTTCCATTGTCAACTCTAATCGTATCAAGCACGTGACCGCAATTGTTTTTTTGGAGTGTCGATAATAAGCATGTTTATACAAGAAGTGTGCCATCAAAAATGAAAACCCCAACAGAAGAAAACCCAAAAAAATAGATATCATGAAACGGAAATACAAGGTTTGTAAAGGAAACAGCAGTGAAGGCGTTTGGGTGGTTGGTTTGATGTTTAAAGGAAATACTGATTTTCAAGATAATTGTTTTTAATGAATTCAATTTAATTTTAAAATTTCATTAAAGCAATCATTCAACTGAGTGGAATGGTTTGGAAAATAGTTGACTTACCCGTCTTAACTTGATATTTCAAAGTGGTGGCACAGTCTTCAATCAACTGCTGCAGATTCACAGCCCGCTCGGGTACATCCAAGTCCAAAAGACGTTTCATATCTTCGGGATGATGAAATTCCAAAACCTTTTCATTGCGATCATTTGTGGCTTTAACAAAGTCCAACAAAACATCAATGACTTTTAACAAGAATTCTCGTGTCTCGGGAACAGCCGTAGTTGTGGTAGGCAAAAGGTCTGCAAAGCAAATAAAAAAAAATAAATGGAAAATAATCTTAATAATACTAAGAATTTATAGCAATAACATAAAAAACAACAACCAAACACACATAAACATACATACACAAAGATAACATTTTTGTTATCTTAACCATGCTAAGGATATTAGATATTTAATGTTAAAAAAGAATTTGACTTCCGCCATCAGGAAATAATGGTATTTTTTATCTTTAAACATGAAATATGATTATTATTTTTATACATAATATTGGTTTTCTTATTTTCACATTATTTGCAAAGAAAATAACCATTATTCAAAATCTTAGTTACCTTTTTCGAACACACAGATTTATTTAATTCAATTTTGTTTGGTCATAAAATGGTTTTTAATAAAAAAGCAACAAAAAATATGTTTCATTTGGACCAACATTCTTTAGAGCTCTTAAATATTTGAATACAATAGCAAACCCCCTCTCCTCTTATTTTATGTTATTTTATTATCCTCCTCTATATAAAAAAAGTTTATGGCAGCAGATGCTTTGCTGTAGGAATGTCTGTCTATTTATTGCTTAAATTCTTTAGTCTTTCAAAATAAACGACTACGCCAGAACTTTGTGTCAAATTTGAGACACTTATTGTGGTTGTTGTAAATATTTCCACATGAAGGACGAATTCCTCCCCTATTCATTTTTGCTATAGCTCTTCCTTATGTTGTTTCATTATTTGCTAGAGATTTTATTGTAAAGACTTAAATAATTACTAATTGAAGTTGGTTTTTTGAGCAAAAAAAAAACATTCTACTTACTGCCACTTATTTATTTCCAGGATTAAATTGTCACAATAATGGGGTTTTTAAGTGAAGACTAAATGTAGGAAATTTGTTAGAGAAACTAATGATGGTTTCATTATTTTTGAACAATTTGAAAATAATACTTTTTAGTTTAGATTATATTTATACTTCTATTTCTTATCATTAATTTGTATATAATGTGAAACATTCAGTCTAAATTATGGATCCAATACAAGTTTTCATTTTATAAGAACTTTGATTAAATAAAATGCATATTAAGCTTTACATTTAATTGCAATTTTAAAACAAGTAAGAAATTATAGTCGGGCGAGGCCGACCATATAATACCCTACACCTGTTACAAAAATAAAATTTGATTTAGTTTTCATAATAAAGCATTTAAGTTGAATTGTACCTTGCCTCAGATATACTTAAACCATTTATTGTTGAATAAAATTGTGGACATTTAAGTAAAATTTTGAAGGGGCTTTGTATAGGGGCAATGGTCAAATGAGACCCTATAATTATAAAATTAATGAGAGTCATCAAGGTAGTATAGAACTTGGCTTTGTAGTTTTTTGTCGAGATACGAGTATATTAAACATAATTATGATCTTAAAAGCCCTATTCGTCGGGTTGAGTTGTATCAATAGGCTTCGTCTCCGGTACCATAGAAGATCATGTGCCAAATTTCGTTGAATTATCATCAAAATTGCGACCTGTAGTTTGTTTACAAGGTTTACAAGCCCTATTCAGGGGTTCAGTTGTATGGGGGCTAGGTGAAATAATGGACCGATCTTAACCATTTTCAATAGGCTTCATCCCTGGGACTATAGAATATATTGTACCAATTATTGAATTATCTTCAAAATTGCGACCTGTAGTTGGATTACAAGGTTTCATGGACGGACGGACAGACGGACATAGCTAAATCAACTCAGAAAATGAATCTAAGCCGATTGGTATACTTTAAGGTGGGTATAAGACCAATATTATTGTGCGTTACAAACATCAGCACAAACAGATAGACTGAGTCCTATACATGTATATTAAATTGAATTCATAGTTTAGGGGTGTACAAATATCAATTAAAACACATAACATCCACGCATATATATTGTTCAATTCAATTTTGGAATAATTGATGCATATTTTGAAGAAGAACATTCTAAATTGTATTTATTTCATATAATGTGGACGGAACCTACATATGTGAAATAAAAAGAGAGATTTGATCACTATTTGAGAATGGTTCAACTTTGTCAGAAGGGTATATAAAAGTTTGTCATTCCGTTTGTAATTTCTACAATATATTTTTCTGACCCTTTAAAGCTGAAATAGCGCAGCCATGTCCTTCTGTCTGTGTTTATGTTGAAATCTGTTTTTAGAAGGCCACAGATATTTTCGACATCCGAATCTTCAATAATTCATGCTTTCGAGAAAAATAGATCCGAATGAAGCGGTATCTTGTTATTGTCTAGAAAGCATGAAGTAAATGAGAACCTATAAAAGGAAATATTTTGGTAGTTTTTCGTACTTTTTGAGTTTTCTATAACATTGAATCTAACAACATGACATTAAACATGTAGAGCCCGGAGTACGTAAAAACCTATAAAAGTGAACATTTTGGTAATTTTTCGTTCTTCAAAAATAACTCTTTGAGTTTTCTATGAAATTGGAAGTAGAAACATGAAATTAAAGAGAACTTTTTGGTACTTTTTCGTTCTTCAAAATGTACTTTTCGAGTTTTCTATAACATTGAACCAAGAAACATTATATTAAACATGTAAAACCCAGAGTAAGTGAGAACGTATAACAGTGGACTTTTATGTGCCTTATTATTCTTCAAAAGATACTTTTTAAGTTTTCTATAATATTGAATCTAGAAACATATAGAGCCCGAAATAAATGATAATTTATAAAATGGGACTTTATGGCACTTTTTCGTTCTACAAATGGTACTTTTTGAAATTTCTATAATACTGAACATAGAAACATAAAATTAAACATTCACAGTCCTAAGATAATAAAAATCTGTAGGAGACGATGTTTGGTACTTTTTCGTTCTTTAACTGGTACTTTTTGGTTTTAATGCAATATTGAACCTAGAAACATATAATTAGACATTGTATATATCCTGATGGAATGAAAATCTATAAGAGTTTGTTTTTTGGTACTTTTTCGCTCTTCATACTTAGGATTAAACACGCAACGCTCATGCTGAATGAAAATCTATGAAAGCAGACTTTATATGGCATATATACATATACATATATTTATATAACAAGATCTAAAACTTTGATAGAAATTGCTCAAGTTTGTAGTCATAATAATGTAGATCTAATCTACTTACAAACTTATCTTTCAAAACTACACTTGTTTTTTTTCAATTTCAAACATGCCGAGAAATTTAAAAAAATAGATTTCCTTAAAAATCGTGTGTAACAAAACATTATTTAACATTTCCAAGCAAATAACTGTAAAAAAAACACAATTCATTTGAATTTAATTAAAAACAATCATTCAAAATCCATCACAGATTCCTTAAAATAACTGAACCTTTTATAATGCGTTACAAATTGTTGTCTAATAGAAAAATTCCTTAAATTCCATGAAAAAAGGAAGAAATGTTCTGCATTAAAGGCATGATTACGTTTGCATTTCTTCGGTAAACACTGTTCAGAAGAGCATCCCTCGTTTTGATGTACCCAGTGGAAAATGAAAGGGAAACAAGCAGATTGTACCACGCATAAATAAACACATAACCAACGGTTAAGAGAAAGTTTTAACAGGCCTTTTAAAGGGCCTCAGATGGCAGAAAATAATTTTAGTTGCTTGTTTGTTTTATAACAAGAAATTTTTAAAATTCAGCGGTTTTATACAGCTGATCAGTACTTTTTTAAGCTAGAAGTTAAAAGATCTGTTTCAGTAACATGATCTGATATAACAATTTTAAAGTTTTCGTACAAATTTTCCGACCGCTATGAGAAACCGATTATGATTCTTAAACAGAACTATTTAAAAGGCCCCATTATGTTTGCCCCCCCTTGATACATAACATATAGATAAAAATAAATGAAATGCGAATGTATGTAAGTGTAGGTAATATCCTGTGACTAAACGGTTTATATTTGTTTTATTTCAATTTACGACATACACACACACATACAAGCACCCAAACTTGCACACACACTTGGTGCATGAAATAAGGATGCTTGTATGCTTATTGGTGGTGGTTGGGTGCTTTGGTTGGTTCCTGTCGTTTGACTTTTTGGTGTAAGTTTGGCGTGTGTAGAAGACTGGAAACAATGAAAAATCTGTTTTTTTTATGTAAGGATGTGTATGTGTTTGAGTTCTCGTAAAGCGATTTATCACAAAGTGAACGAGTGTGTTGGACATAAAGCTACTTGAATTTATTGTTAAAAGGACGAGTGTAAGTAAGTAGTAGTAAAAATGTAACAATTTTGTTTTCTTCAAAACTTATGCTTTTTTCTTTCTATTTTGTTACATTTTTATTCAGTTTAGTTTTTCTGTTTTCTAGTTGTACTTTTACTTTTGTACATTTCACATTTTATGGATGTTTAGTTTGTGTTTGTGACATCTAAAGGATGTGGCAAAGAAATGTACAAATATGTTTGTTTATTTGTGTAAGAGATGTGTGAAAATATTTGTACAAATATTAGTTTTTTTGGCAACAATTTTGTTTTTATTTGAGTAATGATGTTTAATGTTTTTGGCCTTTTTGTAAAAACTGTCTTAAACGATGTAATCGTTACACAAAACACAATTTTTAAAAATTATCCACCATTTAGCTTTTAGATATGATGAATTAAAGAAGATTCTAAAAGAAACAAGTATGGGTCGATCCTTTCGGAAATTGTTATCATGATTAACTTATTTATTACATACTATACCGACGTCCTATATTCAAAAAGTGTTAACTGTATCTTGGGCTAAAGCGAGTTTTTGATTATTATTCCAGTTTGATATAAACTTGAGTTCAAAATATTAATTTTAAAAAGTTGTATCACTTACCAATTTTCCACATTTTGATATTTAAATCCCCATGACTCAAATATTGAATTATTAATTTTACAGAAGTTACGAATAATGGCTGTCTATGCCTCTAGACTTATACCTTAAGTTATAGAAAGGAATTCTGGAAAAAGTTAGGGCGATAGGGCCACGTTAACATAGGGCCGATTTAACATATTTTTGCATATATTCTAATAAATCTATGTCATTACGTTAAATATATTCGTATTAACTTAAATGTGAGTTGTTATCTTCATTAGATAATGTAAACCGTATTTGGAGTATAGTCATAAATGGAAACCCCTACAGACGGCGCTTTCAAAACTCCAGTTTTGTTAAGCAAATTTTATAATTTTGAGAAAATCTCCATGTGACATATGGACAATAAAGAAGGGAATAAAACAGTAAAGATATTAGATCGATATCTCCCACAGATTACAATTTTAAGTTTTAGAAATCAGATTCGGTTTCCGCAGATAAAAATACATAAAAATCCGACGAATTGGTTTTAAAAGTTTTTTTTTTTATAAACCTTCATTTCGTTGGCCTGTGTAAACAATATATTCATGATTGTTAAAACCATATTCCGGGGGGACATTTGTATGGGGCCTAGATGAAACCGTGGACCGATACAGTCTATATTTAAACAAATCTTGACAATAGAGAATATTTATGAAACTTCTAGCTCTTCTATTTGGTCTTTCAACAGACAAACTGGCGCGCATGGCTGGATCGTCTTAGGATAAGAATCAAATAAATAGTTTTGCGGATCGCAACATTTCGATGGTTCTTATGATGGTGCAGTATACTACTATATTCCTTTCAATTGATATACAAATATATTTATTACATATTATTAAACTGGAGGTAATCTTAGTTGTTTTAAACAGCAACATATAGCAAACTAGTTTAAGACCTTCGAAAAGTTATTGTAGACTTCAACACAGTCGTATATCGTACTAAATCGACTCCGATAGAAAAATTATTAAAAATTTATTGAATTGATGATAAATTTCTGAATTGTATAGATATGCAATTTACAGTAAGGGTATTGTTGTTGTTTTTTAATATATGTATTTGTAAACAATTATATAACTTACCATACGCTGTTAATTTTCCCGTTTTTTCGGAAAGTTTATACCCGTTTGGATTGAGCGACATTTTCTCCTCTGAAATGAAAACCACAAACAAAAAAGAAAATTTTATTAAAAATTCAAAAAACAATAAATATAACAATTAAATCTAAAAATGCAACAACAAATTGTATTTTTCGTAGACATGCAAAAAAACTAAACGTGTAACGTTACGTAACCAATTATGATTGTATAACAAAATTGTTGAAGGATATTTTTTGTTTGTATATTTTGAATGTATGCAAAAAAGACTGTTTCGAAAAAAAACTAAAAAATATGATAATAAAAGAAGGTCGTTAGTAGACAAGGACTCATGAAGGTTATAGGTGATAAATGGGAGGAAGAACACAAATGCTTGAATGCATATGCGCAATAAATGTGGTAATAAAATGAAAAATGTATTTAAAATCTATTTGTCTGGATACGTTACATAATCTTTTCATAAATTTTAAATTTCAAAAAAGGAGACAATTTATTTAGAATTTTAGAATTTATTAAATCAATTCCTTGTGGTGTACAGTGGACGCTTGTTTAAGGAATGTATTTGTATCTTACCAATGATCTTGCGGAGATCTTCGATGTATTGCCTTAGGAAAATCACTTTGACTGATTTATAAATTTAGCGTGTTCAGAGGAAAATTAATATGAGTTGAATTTTGGGTTAGAATTACAAGTAATTAAAGTAAAATTTATGAACGAATTTAAAAATGCCTTAAGGTGATTTAGTTAAACAATATATTTTACAATCAATGAGCTTTTTTTGTTACTTTTCTTTTTGCTTTTACTTAAGAGACTCACTACTTTGGGTTATGATAAATACTACTTAAGCGTTTGTTTTTCTTTTTTCAACTAAATTTTAATAAAATTATTTGTTAGTTTTTCACACTTTAATTTCTACTAAATCTAAATTAACAAACAAATTGAATTTAATTCAAGATTTACTTAAAGCACACTGATTTATGTTGAATTTTATTTAAGGATTTTTTATTTATTTTCAAACTCCAGCCGTACACAAAGTCGGGACGGACACAAATGAAAAAGCAGCTTTACTGTTCGACGATCTGAGGAGCTTTGTAACTGATTTCATTTTACAGTCTCCTACGAAGCCAAATTCAAAATGGCTTCGTGTGTAGGTATATAAAGAAAATGATATGTATATTATGTATTACGAGTGGAATCCTTAAAAGAATAACAAAATAAACAATAACAAATTCCCAATATATATTCTGCGCACTGAAATTACTATACACATACATGAAGAATATTATATTTACTATGACAGCCACCACCCCCCCCACCTCTGTTCACCCCACACCAGAGTATATAACATTAAATGTCTGTAGGGACTGACTCCCCATTTATCCACCTGCCAAAAAATTGGCTCCACAAACTATGACGTCATGGTTAGTTGAAACAACAGCCATATTGTATCCACATGATAGTCATTTACATATTTCAACAGGAGGCGGAGTTTGCGTATACATTTTGTCTTTAGATGTAATTATAGAGAGAGGAGGAGTGTTGGGGGTTTTGGGTTTGTTTCTTTGAAGGACACACCTTACTTTGTTAAGTTTTATTCAATGCTTTCTTTTGTGTGTTTATCTTGACTAAAACTTAATCATTAGATTTTTTATTTTTTTTTTGGGAAATATTTTTATCTTTTAGTACTTTAAATTTGGTTTTTAATAGATTTTTTTCTTACGGCCATTATTCATCATCATCAAAAAGTGTTTTTTTATTATCAAGGCTAAGATGCGTGATAATATTTTATCGTTTGTTTTCTTTATAATGTTTACTACCTTGATGGTGAAGGGTATTTTGTTGTTAAATGATAATGTTTAACTGAGATAAGTAAGATTTGATATTTTAATGAAGGTTTTATCCTTGTTATATACTAAGAAAAGAAAAACTGGGTCATTTTAAATACATACATATGTATGTATCTTAAATTATTCTTGGTCTTAAAATGAACATTTAAAGTCTATATAAGCACATACTTATGTATTTGGCATTGTTTGTAGCCATTTATACTATGGTGTATTTCATTTTCTCTTCCAAATTAAATTGTTAATATTGTAGACATAATACAACACAGTTTCATATTTATTTGGTTACTCGGGAATTCCCGTGAAAAATTTTAGTTCTAATAAGATCAGAATCACTTTTTTAAGTTAAGTTAGACATTGAAGATAATGAAATCTATGAAATTTGTTATACATACATATACCCTACTGATTGTTGTTGATATTGGTGAACTATCATGAACGTTGTTAATTACCTAACTAACTTCTATATGGACATAAATCCTTTAATGAGTTGGCATCAAAAATGGACATGTTTTCATAAAAACTTAGTTAGTTAGTTGGTTAGTTAGTTAGGTAGTTAGTTAGTTAGATAGTTAGTTAGTTAGTTAGTTAGTTAGTTAGTTAGTTAGTTAGTTAGTTAGTTAGTTAGTTAGTTAGTTAGTTAGTTAGTTAGTTAGTTAGTTAGTTAGTTAGTTAGTTAGTTAGTTAGTTAGTAGTTAGTTAGTTAGTTAGTTAGTTAGTTAGTTAGTTAGTTAGTTAGTTAGTTAGTTAGTTAGTTAGTTAGTTAGTTAGTTAGTTAGTTAGTTAGTTAGTTAGTTAGTTAGTTAGTTAGTTAGTTAGTTAGTTAGTTAGTTAGTTAGTTAGTTAGTTAGTTAGTTAGTTAGTTAGTTAGTTAGTTAGTTAGTTAGTTAGTTAGTTAGTTAGTTAGTTAGTTAGTTAGTTAGTTAGTTAGTTAGTTAGTTAGTTAGTTAGTTAGTTAGTTAGTTAGTTAGTTAGTTAGTTAGTTAGTTAGTTAGTTAGTTAGTTAGTTAGTTAGTTAGTTAGTTAGTTAGTTAGTTAGTTAGTTAGTTAGTTAGTTAGTTAGTTAGTTAGTTAGTTAGTTAGTTAGTTAGTTAGTTAGTTAGTTAGTTAGTTAGTTAGTTAGTTAGTTAGTTAGTTAGTTAGTTAGTTAGTTAGTTAGTTAGTTAGTTAGTTAGTTAGTTAGTTAGTTAGTTAGTTAGTTAGTTAGTTAGTTAGTTAGTTAGTTAGTTAGTTAGTTAGTTAGTTAGTTAGTTAGTTAGTTAGTTAGTTAGTTAGTTAGTCTGTCTACAAGGAAGATGTATAGATCGATCTTGTTGTGCGTCCTTTTACCAGTGTATCAGGTGGGAATCGAACCCTACCGGAGGTCATTAAACTTTTAATAGTATACATGAAAATCTGTAAACAAATTATGTCCCAGAAATTACAATCTTTTTATATAATAACACAGGCCAACAAATGTTTAACAAGTTTACCAGACCTGTTTGATTTTGCAAACAAAGGTGTTAACAAAGTCTCCAATATGGCCAAAAACGGAGTTTTCAAACATAACTCGAAATCTCTAAAACCTGAGCTTACTCTTTTAGAAATGTATTCATTGCTCTCTGGGTTCCGACATTTTGTTGGCCTGTGTAATCTAAATTAATATTGTGCAAGTGATTTAACTTTCAAGGTGATCAATTACGAACTGTCATCAGATAAATAAGTGCAACGATTATAAAAACTATTGCAAAAGTTTCTGAGTTTTCCAGTTGTTATTTAAACAAACTGATAAAAGGTCAAATCCAACATATAATTAAAAAAAAACAATTCTAAAACTAAACTTCCGCTCTCTCTCTGTCAAAAATACTAACAACCGTAAAAATGTGGTCAGTAAACGATATAGAAAAATATTGATTAAAATACATTTTAATAATAAATATTGTAATTCGTATAATTTCCTTTATTAAGTTAAAATGATAAATATGTATATAAAATACATATTTATCAATTGCTATTATTTTTTTTGTTTCGTTCTGAATGTTTAATCAATATGGCGGCATTTTTTATCGCTCTCGTTAACTGGCGTGTATGTACTTATACGAGTAGTGGACTTAATAAACAAGTGTTGTTCGAATCTCTATAAATCGAATTTATTTCTATTTTGATATTTTAATGGCACTTAACGCTCCTACACCAAAACCAATAATAATTAGTCGCCTTATCGGGTTTTGGGAAACCAGAGTAGCTAATAATATTTATAATCAGATTGATGGCAAATAAACTAAATGACATTAATATCAAATAACAAATAGAAAAAAAAAAACAAAAAAACATATGCTAAAAAATATAAACTGGGTACAAAAATAAAAGGGACTTAAAGGAGTGAATTCAATAAAAGGAGATCTAGTACTTTCTCTAGCATTATTTATAATGATTTGTTATAAAATCCATTCCTGTCAATTATCGAGTTAAACCTTTTACCGTTAACTATTACAAATATTCCGCTTATTGCAGAATCTAAAATACTTTAATGGGTATTTAAAGTTTTAGATTAATATATCGAAAATTTTTGTGTTAAAATTACAACATTTTTAAAACTTTACTTTTAAAAAGTTACATTTCTTTCAAAGTTCTGCTCCAATTCAAAAAAAAAAAAAAAAAAATATTAGAAAACCAACAACTAAAGGGGGGAAAAAGTTCGTTGAAAATTTTATCACAATTGAGCTGTCCACCCGATTTTGACATGTCTCCGCTTTATGAAAATGACACACAAATACACAACTAAATGAAACGCAGTTATCTCTCGTTTTTCACTCATAGCACCATCCAAACACTTAATTGTGGAATTCACCTGTATTTATCAGTTCCAATTAATATTGAGATGTTTTTTATTATTATTTTTTCGTTAAATGTTGAAATATGAACAACTAAATTAAATCAATAAATAATAAATTTTAGTTTATAACAAACATTAATCAAACCAACACACTATTGGAATAACATAAAACATTTTAGGATTTTTCGCGAAAATTCAGTGAAATTAATTGCGCCAATAATAAAACGAAACGAAAACGTTCAAAATAACTTTTTGTTTAATTTGATAATTAAGTGTGCAAAACGTTACAATAACTCTTTATGATTACGGTGCTTAATTAACCGAAATAATAACGCATACATATAGAGACAAAATATTAATAAAACCTTAATACGCCTATTAATTCATATTCAGTTTGAATTCAAATTTCGTGTGAGTTATAACGGTTTATTCGAAGTATATATGGTTAGTAAAAATAAATATCAAATTTCTCAATTAAACTAATTACTAATATTGGGAAAACGCGCGTCAATTAATTGAGTGATAACAATCAAAGTTTATAAGTAAAATTTAGAAATGAATAAGAAAATTTTCACTCAAATTTAAATCGAAATATCTCGAAAATTTTACTTAATTTAAAGAATTATAAATATTATATTGATTGCCAAATTAAAATTTAAACTAAACATTTTATTGCCGACTATTATTATTCAGAACGGATCACGGTCACTTAAATTAGTTTAACGATCTGTAACTAACAGATTGTCGCTGGGGTATCGACTTGAACTAGAATCACGTGACTAGTTGTATACAAATTAATGTTAAGTAGTTATCATCTGTTAGAAATATCATTATAAAGTAAAGACCTATTTAAAAATTTAATGACTTTTTAGCGAATTACATATATGCCACTTCCGAAATATAAAAATAATTCTTGACCGAAATTTAAAACATCTGAGATTCTTTTGCATGATCATTTGATATCTGATAAATTAACTGATGTTGACTTTTCGATGATCTTAAGATCAACTTTTAATATTCAGGACAGGTAGGAAAACGATGAGTGAAATTATCAGGCCTGTCACAGAAGTCTCTGCTATTTTAAGAAGCAAAACAGAGTAAATTTTAACGATTATATCCTTACGGAATACTTTAAACTGTCATATTAAGCATCAAATTGTATTAAACTTTGAACAAGTTAATTTTATGTACTGAATATAGCCAAAATAGGAGAATTTTAAATTGGTTTAAAATAAAACAATACAATTCGACATAAATTCATAGGTTAGGTTAGATCAATGGGAGGATGTATACTACATACATCATATCCGAAGAAATACACCTAGATCACTATTGGGCCTATTGTACGTTCCTTTGCATGTAAAATGTTTATTGGTAAACAATAAAGAAACAATATTAGTGATCAATGAAGGTATTATCATACGACGTTGAGAAACTAAGTTTCCCGGACGTTATTCCTAAGAATTTTCCAATCAGTGTTCGTGAAGAGTGTTATATCCGAATAATATCACTACCATTACATTTGGACTAGTGGGGACCGGACCACGTTGCGGGCCCATGATTAGCCATGTGGACAATCTATCAAATTATAAAATAATCGGTATAGCTGTTAAGGTGTAATTGACAAAAATTAAAACTTTGGCGCTATCTGTTGGAAAATTTAATAAAACTTTACAGGAACACTTCTCACGATCCCTGGAATATATATTTGAAATTTTGTCCTATCATACTAACCACAGACATGCGTATTTTGATAAGGCTTCACATTCTGCTCTCGTTACACAGAGAGAGACGTTTTATTCACGCTTGATACACAAATTGATACCAAAATGTTTTTAACTTTTCAATAACATCCGTTGTCAAAGTATATACGGATAGTTCTCAACTCAATAAAACTCAATAGCAAAAATATAAAAGATACACGACGTTATCAAATCATCTAAAAATAATACAGCGCTAAATTGTCAAACAGAACCTTGCGTTAACGAAATGACAACGATGCATTGCCAAAAAGACACAAAGCGTAATCGAAATGACAACAATGCGTTGTTGCAATGACAACGTTGCGTTGTCAAAATTACAAAGGTTGTTATCAAAATGATTACTGGATGTTACTTAAATTTTATACACATCTTTTGTCTAAATGTTCACTTTTGACAATGGATTGTATCAATGTTGGTATTTCTCACCGGTTTTTTTCCCTCTGTGTAGGGTCATCCAATGGGATCTTTGTGATTCTAACCATCGTTTTATTACTTCAAGGGGCCTTTTGTGTTTCTCTCGTCCATATTTTTAATCCAACCCTCGTTGGAACGAATGGTTTTCGTGCTTCAGGTTTACTTCCTCGAGCTTCCATTCCTTTAAAGCAATAACAATCACTCTTAAGTTGCCAACTACTCCCGAGTAGCTGGAAGAGTATTCAGTTAAGTAATTCCTTTTTCTTGTAACCTTTAACAGTGGTATGTTCCAAATTAAGAAGATAATTTTATATAATTTGGTAGAAATTTATGTTGTGCCCAAGAAACGAAGCAAGATCAGTCTATAATTTCTAGCCCCCATACAAGCGATTTAGGTAAATCGTGTAGAATTTTTATGATAAATGAAGTGAAGTTAGGGAAGGGAATTTAGAAAATAACCACCTAAGACTTCTGCGTTCATAAATAACTTAAAAGTGTTGGTATCTGAACAAAAATCGGTATAGATGTGATTGAAAAAAAGTATTCATATATCGGTCAATAATAATTCTTTAATTTTGTAATGTTCAGTCTGTTTTTAATAAAACTACTCACGACGAGTGATTATGTATCTCTGAGTTTAAGTTTGCAATTTGGGTTTCATGGACTTTTCAGATGTCTGATAACTTAGTTCAACACCTTAGCAATAAAAAAATTTTATTTAAACTGATTCTAATTTTGTGTTTATAAGATTATACTATATACGAAATCTACTAGTTGAAGTCTTTAATAACTATAAAACAAAATGTATATCGTTTCAGTGGAAAGGGATCAGGCTCCCTTTTCAAAAATAACATCTTGGCTGGAGTATAAATACACTGCTCTTCTGTAGCAATGTTAGCATTTTTTTACAAATGTTAAAAAAATACATTTTGCCTTTATAAATCTTTAAATCCCTTTTAAAACTGAGGAAGTTAGTTTGGAAAATGTATCTATAACCGCACTCCTTGTGGAAGTTATTTTGACTCTAACTTATTGTTAATCTTAAAATGATTGAGATTGCTTCTCTTTTTTAAAAGTACACTTAAGCAATATTTTTTTATATTTTCATTTTTTTCTTTTCAAATTGAATAATTACCTCCTTGTTGTTTTGACGTATAATGATTATAAGCTCTATATCCCAGATACGCAAAAATATTTTCTATTTATTATAATTAATAATAAATAAAGTTGTATAAAATATATACACAGTAGTTTTTTTTTTTTTTTGTGGAAATAATACTTTATTTTATATTTGTTAATAACACTACTTTTAAGGTGTAAAAGGATCACGCGTTAAAACTAAAATGCTGTCTTCCGTTTCCTCTACACTACTACTTATATAAACATTTAAATGCTGCCAACTAAGGCACCGACCAAAATTCATTTTCATTTTCGGGAGTGAGTGAGTGAATACGAAATTTTCATGGCAACTGCAAAAGTAGGCGAAAAAACAACAATTTCTTAAGTCAATTTCCTAAGAGCGAAGAGGAAAGCTGAAAATGGCCATGTTAATTCAGAAATTAGTTGACAAGGATTTTTTCCATATACTACATACATACATACACGAAAGTATATTAGTGTTAAGTTTGTAAAAAAATAATGTATGTATCCTAAATATTAGTATGTAAATGTCACTGTTGGTTTTGTGGATGTTGTGGGTGTTGAAAAATGGGTCAAATATGTTTTTTTTAAATACATATTATATAATTCTTATACAAGTAACAGTAAAAAACATTTTAAATATGTTAAGGTTGTTGTAAAAAAATGCAATTGTTTGTTTAATATTGAAATTGTTTAAAAAAAGAATTTGCTTGTTTTGTAATATAAACTTTTTTATGCATTTTTCTTGTTAAGTGAACTAGAAAAAATACACAATCAATTTTTCTTTACAATTTTATAACAAACAATTGTAGCATTCTGCTGCGGCTGCTGGTGATTTTTCTATATCAATGATTAATCCAGCAATAAAAAAAATCAAAAAAATGAAAACAATCCCTAGTATTGTAGGCTTAAGGATATGACCATTATCGGTAGCCATTGCTGCATAGTAATTTGATTTTAACTACAATTAGGCATACAATTGTGTGCATTACGTTGGTTGCATCCAACCAACAATATTGTTGAAAAAGTGTTGCATATCTTCACATACATAACAGTTGCTTGTAGTAGGTTTGTGTATTTCATATGTGTGTTAAAGTAACACTTACACTATAAATAAATATCCTTGCTTTTGTTTTGTCAGCCATTTATTAAAATATGGATACATACCAATTAATACAGCAGTTATTTCTTTGTTTTTCAATGTTTAAGTTAAAAAAGTATCCAACATAAAAAACGCCTACATTTTAAAATCCTTTTGACGTCATAAATTTTTTGTTTCATTTTCTTTCTGTATCTATCTCCTTTTCTTCTGTTTTTTTATAGCTATAAAATGCAACAACATTGGCTAATGTTAATACTATTGGTGGTTACACGGTCGTTGAGTGCGCATGCCAATAGATTACCATTAAATAAGGATTTTGTGACGTCATTGCTGGCAAAAGGGGATGCTGCCGCCGTACGTCGTCAGATAGGCAAAAATAATTTGAACTTTGATAATATTGTAACAATTCAAACGCCATCAAGTGCAGTTCAAGATTGGAGTTTGGTGTGTCAACAGCTCTGCGGGTAAGTTGCTGAGCAACACAACAATAACAAAAGTGCCAAATTATAAAAAAAAAATAAAAGTTAGAAAAATATCTGAAAAAAGAAAATTTTTTAAAGTGTCTGTAAATAATTATGTAAAATTTAATGATTAAAAAAAGTATACATTGCAAATACCATAAAAAGTTATCTTTCTATCGGTTGTAATATTGTCTGCGAGTGTTTTTTATATGTGTGGGCTAATGTCTGCGCCACATATTGTGCTTAAGTGTTTTTGTGTAAAAATTCAATTTAAAATTAAGTGCTATTTTTAAAAAAATGTTTTCTTTTGTAATTTATTTTAGAGCTGCTTTAGGTGGCGCCGTATGCGCTCCCTACTGTAAAAATTTGCCATTTTTACCCTTTAAAGTGCAACTTGAAAATGCCGAAGAAATCATGGATACGAAAAAAGATTTAATATGCCCCGAATTATGTGGTCTACAATTAGGTAAGTTTATATTATATATAATAAAATAGGTTATAAAAAAAGGATCTCAGGCACATTCTCTGCATTTTTAAAATATGGTTATATAACAAGTTAAGTGAAATTACACAAAATATTCCACGATAAATTTTTATGGAATGAAGAATTTACTTAAAATAAAATATTGTTTAATAAACTAACTCGTGTTTAAACGGAATTCCGGGAATACATTACTATGTGGAGTAGACGAAATGCTGGACCAAAAATATGAGACTTTTTGTCCTCATATTTTTTAACCGACGGGTTATAATTTTCAACGCACTACTAATAGATACATTAGGTCTTACCCCACCCGATTAAAAACCTTTTGCTATAAATTTCTTTCTAGAAAAACTTTTCAAAATTTAATTGGCCTTCAAAAATTTGGACTACTCCGCTCACGCGTATAAAGAGTACTCCTCAAAGGACTAGGACTGGTCCAAAACTAATCCAAATATATTGAAAAAACATACTCCATTTAACATTGTGATGTCCTAGGAGAAGACCACGTAATTCAACCATGCATTACATCGGAGTAATCCCAAAACTACTCCCTTGCTTAAATTATGGGATTATATGATCCGCAACATGGCTAAGGACCATGTTGTTTTCAAAAACATGATCCTTGTTTGCATTACATAGGACTACTAAACGGATCATGTACTCCAATAATATATACAGAGGAGTAGTTTTTGGTTTACTTAAATAGATCATGTACTCCAATAATTTTTGCAGGGAGTTACAGAACGGGTGCAAACACAACTACTTTAGATTCTTTAACAGAAATCTTGAAACCAGTAATGACGCCATTAATTCAGTAGCCCGTGGGGTCATGGCTTCAAAGTATGTACTACTAAAGACTTTTCTAAAAACAAGTTCTTTGACATTAGTTATACATTTGTACAATGAAGACCATACTAGTTCCGAAGCAAATTTCTTTTTAGAGAGAAATAAAAAAAATAATAATAATATGAATATACATATATCCCCTTATTCACAAACAAAATTTTTATTTTATAAAAGGTTTATAAAAAAAATTTCCATACAAAATCTAATTTATAAACCGTTTATAAAATAAAAATTTTGTTTGTGAATAAGGGGGATATAATATAGTATATTCATTTATGGAATTGAACATTGAATTCCAGGAATATTGAAAATTTTAAAATGTCGCTCTGAAGATTCGAATTCGTATATCTTCTAACAGAAAATAATAAAATATTTAAACTTCTTCGAAAGATATTAATCCCCCTTATTTACAAACAAAATTTTTATTTTATAAACAGTTTATAAATTTGAATTTGTATGGAAATTTTGTTTTATAAACCTTTTATAAAATAAAAATGTTGTTTGTGAATAAAGTCAAAAAGTTTTCTAAATATAAACGAGCTAATATTTAAAAAAAGTTGAAACCCTGAGACCTAGTTATACTTTTTAGATTTTCAACGAAAATATTGAAATACCAAGAGGTTTCTATAAACATCTAGATAATTTGTAAAAATGCTGCAAAGTTTTATAAATTTAATCATATTTTAAGTATATTTTCATATAGTCTTAAAGTTGCAACAGATTGAAAGTTATTAGGAAATATAAACTTGATTTACCTTTTTATATCCACAATCCAAAAAAGATGGGGGTAGATAGACAGTTGAAATTTTACATAAGTATTCTCTGTAGATAAGGTTTGTTTGGTATTGAAAATAAGCTATATCAGTCCATGATTTCGCCTAGCCCCCATAAAAGTGGCCCCCCGAAAAAAAGTCATAGCTGTTTTAAAAATACAAGTAAAGAGATGAAATTCGACACAAGTAAGTTTCTTATGAGCCAAAATCTCTCGACCAAATTTTATGAGGATCGGTTCATAATTGACTATACCCCCCATATAAGGTCCACTTCATCAATAAAGCGATGGAATTTGACACAAATAAGTTTTATTCAAGCCAAAATCTCACTACAAAATTTTATGAGGATCGAGGCCGATAAATAACCCTTCCACCTATTAGGTCACCTTTACAAAATGACTTTTATCGCGAATAGTTCGACAATAAACTTTTGTAATTCTCAAATATTCACGAAAAAGTTCTGAAATGTTACGACATTTGCTAAATAAACATTAGCGAAAAGTTTTGACCATAGCAACGTTCAGCAATTCATAATAATTTTGTAAAGAATTATTCAATGTTCGAAAAATGTTTGCAAAAAATTATTAAGAAATCATTTACAAATGTTTAAAAGCGACAATTGAAACCTATGGGAATTTTTGAGGGCTGTTCTGGAATATTTGAAATAAAATTCATTTATGCTAATGTTCGCCAATTTTTAATAATTTTTATTAGACAAATATTTACAAATTTATTGAGAAATCATTTGCGTAATAACCACCAATATTTAACTCCAACTCTGAAGAAACATTCGCGATCTGTTCCCGAATATTCGCGATCTGTTCCCGAATATTCGCGAAAAAAGTTCATACATTGTAACGTTCAATAATTCTTAAAAATTTATTTATAAAAATGTGTGAATAACCATGAATGTTTTACTACAATAGTTAAACTTTACAGAATTGTTTATGGTCTGATCTTGAATATTCGCGAACAATAGCATATTTACGAGAATAATATATTCCAAAAGATTGGAGTGGAAATAAGGTTATTTTTTAGTTATTTCAAAATTAAAGATTATATAAATTTTAATATGTCTTTAACTCTTATTACTGGATTAAAAGTACGAGTATAGCGATGAAAAGCGCCACCAATGAGATCAGATCTCTATCAGATTTTATGAATGACAATACCCCCCATATAAGGTCCTCTTCAGAAAATTTCTTTAACGATAATCACTGACAGCGATGATATTTAATATATGAACCAAAGTCGGTCTACAGAACGTTATTACCATTGGTTAATAATTGACCCTTACCCTAGGCCCTATTCGAAATATCACCCTGATTTTGGGTAAGCATTCTTTTTGCGGCAAACGGTTCGATGGTGGGTATATAAGATTTGGCATATCCGAATATAACACTGTTAGTTGTTATAATTTTAATGTGTAACCCTATAATGTACTCAGTCGTAGTAGATTTAAAGATAACTGTCTATCAAAACAGATATCGTAATTTTACTCAACATCGGCATAGAAGTCGTAGTCGATTTAGCGATATCTGGCACCGATATAGTGGGTTCATATTAAAAAGTACATTAAAATATGCATTATGTCAGAGTGAAAATACCTTTATTTATGAAGCGAATCACAATTACAATTACTAACTTTTGCTCCATATTACTATTTTAACGTTTTCTTACAGGTGATGATGTTTGTACCTGTAAAAATTATAACACTTACGGTGATTTCGACGCCTACATGAAAGCCGAAGAACAAACTAATGTTTGCGCCATAATCTGTGATTATAATAGTGTCACACTGACCGGTTGTACACCATGTAACAGGGATAAGAATAACGAATACATGATTTTGGAAAATGTTAATAATTTGAACCAAAAACAACAACGACGACAACAAGTTGTACCATTTGGAGCAATGGACACCACAACTCCAACGACACCCGATTGGAATCAACTTTGCGCTTCATTGTGTAAAACTGGAGATGGCGGGTCATTGTGCAATTGTGATTTATCGCCATTTTATATATAAACGTTTGAGAAACAATGTTTTCAATAACTTGTTTTTTTTTTTTGTTGACGTTTTTTAAAGGCGATAAATTTGAATTTTTTCTTTGAAAAAAATTAAAACAAGTCTTTTTTCCTAGAAATGGACTTTAAACTTTTATGTTTTCTTTTATTATATATTTTTATTATTAATTTTATTTGTTGTAATTTTTATCATTTGTTTTCAAAACTAAAAGCTGTTTAATGTTCAATTAAAACAAAAAAAGAGAAAACTACGAAAGAAAGAAGTTACAAATAAAAAAAACTAATCCCTATGCGCATCAATTAATTTGTAATTAATTTGAAATACAAAAAAAAATCAAAACTAATAAACAAAATGTTAAACTTAATGAAACGCATTAACAAAACAAAATTAAAAAAAAACTAACTAACAAAATACAAAACACAATTACACTAACAAACAAACTATAGATAAATTATAGACATACAAACTAACATTATAAATTATTAGACAAAAAAACATCTGTAAGGAAAATAAAACAAAATCCTTATTTTTATTAAGGATTTGAGGTTAGAATTGAGTCAATAACTAAACAATTACATTTTCAGTTAAATAATTATTTAAGTTTTTGTTTTCTTTTTTTCTTAAAAAAAAGAAAAACTACAGCAAAATCACTAAAGGGCTTCCAGGTGAAATAGTTTGAATAGATTCTATAGCTCCGTAAGCCCCCAAAAAGGGTTTTAGAGAGTTGATAGAATGGCTACCAACTAGGACACTACACTTTAGTAAATTTAATAAAAAAACAACCATTAAAAATATCATATACACAACATATCGATGTCTTCCTTAAGAAAAAGTTTTTGATTTTTTAATTTTACAATAATTTTTTTTCGTATTAATTTTGTTGTTAATAATTTGTATTGGTTTTTTTGTTTTAATTGTTTAATTGGAATCAGCATATCAATTAACAAACAACAAAAACAATTATATTAAAACATAAATTAAAAAAAAAGAATAACATCCAAACAAAATCAATTAAACATTTATACAAATTAATAAACAAAAAAAAATATTTATATTTCTTAAATATATTATGAATATATAAATAATAACAACAATTCACATTTAATTCTTGATATACATTATATAAATAAATATATATATACACATTATATATAAAACTAAATTTAATAATTAATTAAAACAAAAACTACATTTTGCACATTTAAATGTTTAGCCAAGAGTTTAGTGTTGTTATTCATTTTTATTCTGCGAAAAGAAATATTTAACAATGATTTTAATTTTTGTTTTTAGTTTCAAAAAAAAAAAAAAAAATTATAATAATAACTTTTACCCTAAAAACATTAATTAATAACATATTTTCTTCAAGTGTATTATCAAATGTAAACAAAAAATGTCTCGTTATAATTAAAGGAAAAAATTAACACACGTTTAATTTCATAAACAATATTTAAAGTTGTTTTAATTTTTTTTAATTCTTCTTTTTCAAAATTTTAGTTTTTACTTAAAAAATTTATCAATTTCATTAATGATTTTAATTCGATTTTAAGTTATTCAAACAAATTTCAAATACATCAAAATTGTGTTTTCCATTAACATTCCCGAATTTAAAAACATTCTCGAACTACTCTCGTGACGAATATGTTCAAATTATAAAATTTAGCTTTTTGATTAAAAAAAATAATCTTGAACTATTTTTCACTTGACATTTTCTCACAATTTCTTAAACATTACCAATATCACGAATATTTCAACATGATAATACCATTTTGCAGGAATTTTTGCGAAAAGGTTCGAACAATTTTCACAAAGAACCTTTTGCAGAATAACGCATGTTTTAAAGCGTCAATTGCATTTCTACACTGTAATATCTCGACCATGGTGTAAAAACGATAATTTAATACTTCAGGAACATTCACTAATAATCACGAATAGTTCGCCAATAAACCATTTTTTATAGAAAAATTATTTAGATATCAAATGCAGAACAACCACAAATATTTAACTGACACTCTGCAGAAACTTTCGGGGGGAGTTGTTAAACCTTCACGAATTACTTGCGAATGTTCCCGTCACATTAAATCATTCGTGATCGTTTGCAAATAACTTTTGTGAAAAATTTTCTTTAAAAAATTATAAAGAACAATCGAACATTAGTATGGTTCAACTGTTGCTTTTCTGGAATGTTCACGAAAAAGTTCAGAAATGTTACGACATTTGCAGAACGATTACGAATGTATTAAAACTACAATAGAATTCTAAATGAACATTAGCGAAAATTTTTGACCATAGCAACGTCCAGCAATTCATAATAATTTTGTATAGAAATCAAATTATTAAGAAATCATTTGCGGAACGATCACGAATGTTTCAATGTTCAAAAAATTTTTGCAAAAAATTATTAAGAAATCAAGTGCACATGTTTTAAAGCGACAATTCAAACCTACGGGAACTTTCGAGAACTGTTCTGGAATATTTGCGAAAAAATTCATTCATGCTAATTTCGCCAATTTTTAATAATTTTTATTAGGAAAATGTTTACAAATTTATTGATAATGACCACAAGTGTTTAACTGCAACTCACGAATATTCGCGAATTTGGTAACGTTCAAGAATACTTAATAAATTTCCTTCAAAAATACTTAATAAATTTCTTTATAAAAATGTGTTTCGGACATTCGCGAAGAATATTTGCGAAAAAATTCATCCCTGCTAATGTTCGCCAGTATTTAATAATTTTTATTAGAAAAAAATGTTTTCAAATTCATTGAGAATGACCACAAATGTTTAACTGCAACTCTGAAGAAATATTCGCGATTTGTTCCCGAATATTCGCGAAAAAAAGTTCAAACATGGTAACGTTTAATAATTCTTAATAAATTTCTTTATAAAAATGTGTGTTCGGACATTTTCAGAAAAACCACGATTGCTTTACTACAATAGTTTAATAACTTTAAAGAAATGTTTATGGTCTGATCTTGAATATTCGCGAACAGTAGCATACTCGCGACAATAATATTATTTCAAAAGTTTGGTTATTCCAAATTTAAAGTTTATTTACATTTTGTTCTCCTAATTTAGTTTTAAAATGGCTTTAATACTGTTTATGAAGTTTTCATTAAAAAAATTAAACTGTTTATAAAATAAAACATTATACATGTATCAAAAATAAACATAAATAACACTTAAATGTTTTAATTTTTAATAAAATAAAATGTTTGGAAGACATTTGTTATAAAAAATTAAATAAAAATATAAAAAATAATATAAAAAACGTTAAATTAACTAAATGAAGACAATTTTCAAGTTGAATATACACAAAATGTATTATAACAAAAATTAAAAAAAAAGAAAACTTTGTGGAAGACATTTTAGTATAATATTTTTAGATTTAAGCAACATTAATAATAATAATAAAAAATGTTTAAATAAATAGATTACTATGTATTTAGACTTGCCTCATAATGAGTCGAAGGCTAAAAACATTCCAGCTGTGACTGACAATAATTAATGATTAGGAGAGCAAGCGGCTACAAATGCCACCAAATAATGCAAAAAAATATAATAATTAAATAAATAAACTTAAATTAATTAAAATGTAATTAAGAAGTATTAAATGAAATGTTAATTTCTTTTTTTTAGTTGAAAAAATTGCACGCATATTTAACAAAAAACAAAATAATTGCACCATTTTAATATAAATTAGAAAAAAAAAATAATAATTTTAATTTCTTGTAACTCTTAGAAAAAAACAAAAAAAAAAAACAAATTAAACAATTATACATATGTATGTACGTATTGGAAAAGTAAATCTCATTTAAAAAAACGCCAACAAATTCGCCAAAATTCAAATCAACATTTATGCACAAATCAACAAAAATCAAAAACTAACACCCTGCTAAGTATTTTTTTCAAAATTTAAAAAAAAACTGCCAAAAAAACAAAACAAGGCAGCAGTAAAATTAAAAAAACAAAAGTATTTGAAAAAAAAAACATAAATAAATTAAAACATTTATCAATGTGTGTGTATTCTCTCTCTATATTGTACAAATACAACAAAGAAAACAACAACAAGCTTAACAAATTACATCTTAAAAAATTTCAAAAAATGTTGTTGTAGAGTTTGTTAAATTGTTAATTATTTTATTTATTGCAAAAAGCCAAAAAACAAAAACAAATCCCACATTACTACAATTTAAATGTGTTTAAAATAATTATAACAGCAACAAAACCAATAAAAAAATATATATTTAAATGTGTGTACGTACCTATTCATATATAAATCTATATAAAACCACATAAAAACAACAACAACTATTATAAATAATATAAAACAAAGAAAAAACATAATTAATTAAACAAAAATTCACAAACACAAATACAGAAAACAACTACAAATTAATTAAATAGCCAAACAATGAAAAGAAAACAACAAAAACAATTAAATAAACCACAAATATTTAAATAAAATTATAAAAAAAAACTACTTAAATATCATTGTATAGTTCAATGTGTTAAATGTTGTATAATAAATTACAAATAAAAAGCCAAAAAAAAAAAAAAAAATAATTTAAATTTGTACATTTATTTAAACATCTGATAAAACTTGAAGAGAAAAGGTAAAGCATATCTATAGGGTCATCAATCAAAACAAATATACAGAGATGGAAATTTAAAATTGAAAAAATATCAATAGTGGTCGACACAAAGGGAACATTTTTCATTACAGATTTTCACGTTTTTAATTGAATAGACCGACCAACAGACAGAAAGATAGATAGATAGATAGATAGATAGATAGATAGATAGATAGATAGATAGATAGATAGATAGATAGATAGATAGATAGATAGATAGATAGATAGATAGATAGATAGATAGATAGATAGATAGATAGATAGATAGATAGATAGATAGATAGATAGATAGATAGATAGATAGATAGATAAATAGATAGATAGATAGATAGATAGATAGATAGATAGATAGATAGATAGATAGATAGATAGATAGATAGATAGATAGATAGATAGATAGATAATAGATAGATAGATAGATAGATAGATAGATAGATAGATAGATAGATAGATAGATAGATAGATAGATAGATAGATAGATAGATAGATAGATAGATAGATAGATAGATAGATAGATAGATAGATAGATAGATAGATAGATAGAATGCAAACAATCCGTTGCCAATAGTGAGCTTACCACGTTTTTTAACATTCAGACAACGGATGTGTATAAAATGTAGATTTCGACAACGAATTGTTGCAATGTTGACAACGTTGCGACATAGTGTTGTCGTACGTATATATATACTTTGACAACGAATGTTATTGAAAAATTATAAACTCTTTGGTGTCAAATTGGTACCAGGCGTGTTTCCCTCTCTATAATTCTAAAACATTTTACTGAAATAAATTTTACAATCTAAGTATTTCACATATAATTCTAATTTAAAAATAGGTGTTAGCAATTTATGGTTCACTAGCATACCCTGGGTGATTCGTCATCCTATTTGAAGTTAAATTAAAATAAAATTTAGATTACAAAAGTATAAAAGGATCAACAATTTTATAAAAAAAAAGTACAAAAAAGTTTTAACTTCATGTTCTTTGGTTCTATATTATAGAAAATTCAAAAAATAAATATCTTACAGATTTTTAGAACCTTGTTTATTTAATTTTATGTTTTTAAGTACAATAATTTGTCTAAAAGGTACCAATTGATGAACGA